ATGCCCCCTTTGAGAGTCCATTTTTAAGTTTGCCCTTTTTTAATTTTTAATGACTATTTTACCCTTATTTGAAACAAAATTAGGTCCACAAAATACAAAATATTTTTTGGCGGGAAAAGTGATCCCGCAATTTTCCCGCCAAAACACTTGTAAAAACCTTTAAAAAACCTTGTAAAATTTTCCCGTAAAAATTTTTTCCGCCAAAAAATTTTCCCGCCAAAAAAATTTTTTTGCGGGAAAAGTGATTCCGCAATTTTTTTTGCGAAATTTTTTTGGCGGGAAAATTTTTGGCGGGAAAAATTTACAAGGTATTTTAAAGGTTTTTTACAAGGTATTTACAAGTGTTTTGTAAGGTTATACAATGTATTTTAAAAGGTTTTACAAGGTACTTTAAGGTTTTATAAGGTATTTATAACTTGTAAAACCTTATAAAAAACTTGTAAAACCTTATAGCTTGTAAAAATCTTATAAAATAGCTTGTAAAATCTTATAATATCTTATAAATACCTTGTAAATACGTTGTAAAACCTTTTAAAATACATTGTAAAACCTTATAAATACCTTGTAAAAAACCTTTAAAATACCTTGTAAATTTTTGGCGGGAAAAATTTTCCCGCCAAAAATTTAACGCCAAAAAAATTGCGGAATCACTTTTCCCGCAAAAAAAATTTTTTGGCGGGAAAATTTTTTGGCGGGAAAAATTTTACGGGAAAATTTTACAAGGTATTTTAAAGGTTTTACAAATTTTTACAAGTGTTTTGGCGGGAAAAATTGGGGGATCACTTTTCCCGCCAAAAAATATTTTGTATTTTGTGGACCTAATTTTGTTATATTTCCTTATATATTTATGATATCTTTTATTAAAAGAAGGGTAATTTAGTCATTTTGTACATAAAAGGGGTATTTTTAAAAATGGACATCCAAAGGGGGCATTTTTGAAAAGGGGTATTGAAAAAGGGGCATTTTTGTGAGTCTCCCTAGAATTAAAGGGGGTGTTATTGGTTTATTAATTTGTAAATCTATATAGAATTTGAAAATTTCTATTAATTATGAAATCAAGATATATGTATTTTGAAATAACATGTGTTTACCCATGGATTTGAATCCTTCTATTTTTCTCTTTTAATTCCATTTAAATCCATTTAAAACATAATTTGGATTCTCAAATCCAAAAACAAATGACTAAACGAATAACATATGATTTTAACTAGTATTTATAAATTATAGAACCAATAACACATGAATTTAATTAAGATTTTAAAATCAATGATTGAATAACAAATGATTTTTGTTTGGATTTCTGATTCCTTATAAATCCATAAACCAATAACCCCTCCAAAGAATCCAACGGTTGTGAACTCACGGGTCATTCATATTGTTTGTTGGATTATAATTTGAATGCAAACGAAAATTAATAAATACAAGTGTATATTCACTGTGAGGGGATGGGTCTTCATCAAATCAATTCACTTTTCCACCGAGTTCGAGTCTATTTTAAACCCTTTTTACGTCTCTTAATATATAGACATATAATTAATATTTTATTTCTTTAACCACAAAAACAAAGTTTTATAATTGTAGGAAATCAAAAGTTATATAAACCATTGGATTATCTTGCACTTGCTATTTTGGTAAGCATATTTCATGTTGTAGTGTTGTCCCTTGCCAGAAAAAAATATATAACTTGCTAAAACAGAAATTGTTTCCATTTAGGGAATATTGCAAAATCTACCACATTTTAACAACTGGCATTCAAAATGTACCACAATCTCAAAAAGCTTTCAAAATCTACCATATTTCAATAGCATATGTGGAATGCTGGACCAAAATACCCCTGATTGGGACAGAGTCTGTGTCAGGGACAGAGTCTGTGTCAGAGACAGAGACAGTTTTGTCTGGCGCTTCTAAAGAAGGAGCAGGTCTACAATAAATGCTGCACGGTTATTTAAATAATATGTTATATCATGGACAAATTCAGATCTAATGAGTAATATAATTAGATCATGGACAAATTCAGATCGAATGGGTGATATAATTAGATCGAGGACAAGTTCAGATCGAATGGGTAATAGAATTAGATCGTGGACAAGTTCATATCGAATGAGTAATAGAATTAGATCGGGGGCAAGTTCATATCGAATTCAGATGGAATGGGTAATAGAATTAGATCGGAGACAAGTTCAGATCGAATGAGTAAGAGAATCAGATCGAATATGTTATATCGGGGACAAGTTCAGATCGAATGAGTAAGAGAATTAGATCGGGGACAAATTCAGATCGAATGGGTAATAGATATAGATCGAGGACAAGTTCAGACCGAATGGGTAATAGAATTAGATCGGGAACAAGTTCAGATCGAATGAGTAATAGAATTAGATCGGGGACAAGTTCAGATCGAATGAGTAATAGAATTAGATCGGGGACAAGTTCATATCGAATGAGTAATAGAATGAGTAATAGTACTGGGGGACAACTGGATCTTTTTGTTATTTTGCAATAGAAGGAAAAAAAATTCAATAATCAGGGTAGGTGAAGACAATAATGCTCAACTAATCTGTGGACCAAAATAGATGGTGAAAAATCTAAATAAAATTCAAAACCCTTAAATGAGAACAATTGGTGGACAAGATGTGGAATTCATGATAATAGAGCAAGATGATGAAATCGGGGACAAGATCTAGACGCAACAGAGAATTTCCAATCGGGGACAAGATCTGGAGACAAAAACGAAAGTTAATTGTTTAGTCTAAGGAGATATAATGTTTCTTGGTTAAAATGCACGTGTTTCGAGGGAGAGAAAGATAAATAGAGAAGCTAATATTGTAGGGAAGATAAATAGGGAGGAGAGATAAATAGGGAGGAGAAATAATTAGGGAGGAAAGATAAAAAAAAGATAAAAAGGGAGGGCAAAATGGTAACTCTACATCAAAATGTGGTATGAGTTGAAAGAAAAGAAGGAATGTGGTAGATTTTGAAAGAAATTGGGAATAAGTGGTAGATTTTGTAGTTTTTCCTTCCATTTATATGCATTGTTTAAAAGTAAACTAAAGAGGATATTAAAAGACAGGAAAATAGATTTGATGGAGTTTGGGACAGAGCAATATAATGCTGACACCTGTCCAATCCCTTGAGACGTGACATGTCACACTCTCTCTCTCTCTCATACAATACAAGTTCTCTGCACAATTTTGTGATACTATGGGGCATTTGGATTCACTCGTTACCCCAACTTTATTTTGAGTTTATTTTTCAAAAAATGATTTGAGACAAGAGACATATTTGTTTTATTTTTGTCAATGAACATGAGTAGTGGCGTCGATACTAAGAAAAAACTACTATTACTTTGAACTCCATTTTTGGGGTTACTTAATTGTTTTAAAATTTGCTAGATAATTAACACCCGAATTTTTGGTGGTTGACAAACGACAAAAAAAAATCTATGATATTTGTGACAAACGACAACTCAAATGTATTTTGACGCCCAATGTTTTGAAACATGTAAATAAAGTCTTTGTATTTTTCACAAACAAATGGAAAATAACTTCTAACAAATATGAGTATTTGAGGTGAGTATTGTTTGAGGAGTTTGCAGTTTCGATAAACAGCTCCTAATGTACTCTCTGCATGTTAAAAAGATGGGACGTTTCCTTGAGGGCTGTTTTCTCCATTCAAAAATTTTACGCAAATTTAAAAGTATGTTATCATATACATGTACGGAAATGAATAGTTAATCGTGTTGAATAGAATCGTAAGAAAAACAAATATCGTATGTTTTTATAATATATATATCAACTTGCAATAAAGGTAAAAATTGAAAGCGTGACTAGATATGCACTTGGAGACTGAACATAGTAGATACGGGTAGACACGCATAATCGAATATCTAGATATCTGGATGGTAGTCATATTATTTGTTTATTATGTATGATCAAAGATTTATTAATATGTAACATCTTCTACTTGGCCTACTAACTAGTTTAGTATTCGTCTCTAATCCTCAAAACAATCAACATAAATATCTATGGTCATATAAAATATGTATATATATTCAGCAAACCAAACACTTTGATTTAAATTGCTTTTAAAGTATTTCATTGTAATGTTTGTTTAACTTCAGAGTTGATATATATAGACCCACAAAATTATTTCCCTATCCATGTAAAACAGACTATTGACATAGTAATCAAATCTCATTGGATGACAAGAACACCAATGATTTGAAGTGGGGAACAAATCAATAGTAAACCCCTTTTTTATAGAAAAAAAATCCATTTCAAATATACAATCGATATTATTTTGAATATTTTGTATACTGTTAAGAAAAAGTTAAAAAATACATAGAGCGTTATGAATTTATTCTTTAAAGAGAAATCGTTATTCAGTGTAAATGACCCGTTCTAAACACTCCGGATCTCATACAAAATAAAGCGTTTTTGTTTTTGCTATAGTTTATAATTATATCGCTAATTCGCTATAGTTCTTTCTAATTAAGAACATACAAAAGTACTAATCAACATATATTTTTTAGACTTTGATTTGATAAACTTTTTTATGTAAATTATATAGGAATACCTGAACAATTACTACTTTTTATATTTGATAATATTGTTCTATCTTGGTTTCAAATTTTTTTTCTTATAAACAAACCAGAATAAGCAAAACCACATCAAGAAAAGAGAAATGAAATATTCTAACATAAATGTTTGCTGCTAAATAAAAAGAAAAAAAAAAAAACAGAATAAAAATTTTCATTTGAGTTTATGGGCATAGGAGTTAGGGTTTTGGGTTTTTTTTTTCATAATACTGATATGTATTTAATATATGTTTCAAAATTTTATAATGTTTTATTTCGGCAATACCCTTAACAAAAAGTGTATTTTGGCAAATTTTCCTTAAGTCTAAGGCTCTAAGCGCAAGAACAAAAGAAAAGTCACACTTGAAAGTGATCCAAAGGGATTAGATATTAGAAAGTGAGATAAAACCAAAGTTAATTTATATTTGCCTGCCTTTTATCAAGCATCTCTCCCCCACTCACTCTTTTACATTTAGGGATCATGAAAATAGTTCACTTTTGAAATTTATCAACACCATTTTTATCTTTATAATAACTTTGACGTTGAATACATCAACACCTTAATTACATATAGTTTATGGAATTTCTCTTTTTTCTTGTAATAAATTTAGTTCAATCCCTCTGTCTCTTCTTCTGGAGTCTTGGACCCAACCCCATCATTCCAGAAATGACCGGCAAAAGTCAAGAAGCTCTCTCTGAGGTCTCTACTCTCTCTCTCTGCGTGTAGGATACTAGACAATTGACAGCCAAAGACTAAAGCTGTGTTGTTGGTTCACTTCTGTTCTCTTTTCCAATGTTGTCATCAGCAAAGCATCAGAGAAACCATAGAGTCTCTGCTACAAACAAGAACCAGACTCTCAACAGAGTTTCTTCCATTTCATCCTCATCACCATCGTCTTCATCATCAACCTCATCATCATCTCCTTTACCTTCACAAGACTCTCAAGGCCAGAAGAGATCTCTAATCACCATGGAAGAGGTTTGGAAAGACATCAACCTTGCTTCCATCCACCACCTAAACCGACACAGCCCACATCCTCAACACAACCATGAGCCAAGGTTCAGGAGCCACAACCATCAGAACCAAAACCCTAACTCAATCTTCCAAGATTTTCTCAACGGATCATTGAACCAGGAACCAGCACCCACAAGCTTGACCACGGGTTCTGCGCCTAATGGTGATTCCACCGCTGTCACTGCTCTCTGCAGCTCTCCTTTTCCACCTCCAGCAACTGTCCTGAGCTTGAATTCTGGCGCTGGCTTCGAGTTTCTCGATAACCAAGATCCTCTTGTTACCTCAAACTCTAATCGTCATAGCCACCATCACCTCTCAAACGTTCAATCCTTCAACACACCTTTTGAGGCTCTGGTTCCGTCCACTTGTTTTGGTAAGAAAAGAGGCCAAGAGTCCAATGAAGGTTCAGGGAATCGAAGACATAAGCGTATGATCAAGAACAGAGAATCTGCAGCTCGTTCCCGAGCTAGGAAACAGGAATGTGCCTCTCCTCTTCTCTCCTAATCTTCTTCTACTCATGTATATCAAAGGGAAGAAACGAAATGTGGTTTTGCCATCAAAATACTTTTGTTCTAAAAAAAGGTATCTTGGTTTTGATTCTCACTTGCAGGCTTATACAAACGAGTTAGAACTTGAAGTTGCTCACCTGCAGGCAGAAAATGCAAGACTCAAGAGACAACAGGATCAGGTAAACAAGCAGAGAGAAGTTCTTATAGTTTTACCCTTTTGAAGCGCTCATGTAAATAGTTCAATTCCTTATAGTTTAAGGTAACCAACTGATCAAAAGAGAGCAGTATATTTGTTTTGCATACTTTTTTTGTCCAATGACATTTTGGGTGGTAAGATTCTAATACTTCAGTTATGTGTTTATTACGTGCGTGTGTGCAGTTGAGAATGGCTGCAGCAATTCAGCAACCCAAAAAGAACACACTTCAACGGTCTTCCACAGCTCCATTTTGAGAAATCCACAAGTCCTTATTTCTCTTTTGGGGATTGAGATTGTCTCATGAAGAAGTAAAAAAATGGAAAAAAGTTTGTACCCTTTTTTATTAGCTAAGTATAAAACTAAGCTAAAATTGTAGAAGTAAGATATTGTAGGGGAAAGAAAGAAGATGTAAAACAAAAGACCCGGAAAGAGAAAAGGATCTTTCAATTTCCTAAGGCACAGGAACACCTGTCCTGGGTCCTCTCTTCATGTTCTGTCGTTTTGCTATTTAAACTCTTTTTTCACTTCTGTACTAACTTCTACTTGTATTCTTGTTGTAGTAATATGTTCTACTTCCTCTTCTAATAATACTAGTAAGAAAAAAAAACACTTATGTTTTACTGTTTAACCAATTTGGTTCTCAAAAGAAGCAAATGACCACTAGACAAAACAGTGCTCCACTTAAATGATGACAATACCAGATAAAAGTGAGAAGGGGACCTATCACTGAACATTTAAGTTTCTCCCTATCACATTATCACAAAAATATCCAATCCTTTGGCCGGCTACCATACAAGCCAACAACTTGCACTATGAAATTGAAACCTCCAAGCCAATGGGAATTAAGTTCACCACTTTTTTGGTTGGTCAAGAGAGAACATGATAAGTTTTTTATTCAGTCTGGTCACTCCCCACGTCTTATTTATTCATAGTACATAGTACTGTAGCTTTTGCTATAACTGGTCACCATCAAAAACACTAGGTGTGTGTTTGTATTCATTTGGTTTATCAAGAGAATGGTTTTTATCTTCTTTTGGTCCAATCTCAATTACCTGACAGTGATAAGTCTTGTTGATCCACTTTTGGTTGTTGATATATTGCTGTGTATTCTTTTAAGCAACCAAAAGTGGACATCAAGAGCTAATATGGTGTAAAAATAGTGGGCATTAAGATAAAGAAGAATAGTTACCAAAAGTGGGACTATGACTAGAATCTATCCTCACATCATATGGTTACACTTAGAGCCCCTCAAATAGGCATCCAATACTTTAAATATTGTTTTTAGTTTCATTCCAGTCAATAAGAATCCTAGACTTGAAGAAACTTTAGACGAAAAGGTCGGTTTATTCACCTGAAACTACACACCTACATTGTTTTGCAATTGCTTACATGAATGTTTCCCATAAAACATTCATACTTAAAGTTGCTACCAGAACTTGGTCACAAGCCTAGAAAAGGTGTAGAAGAGATGATCAAGTAACTAGTACAGAGGACAGAACGAAGCATTGATAAGTTGCTGCAGATACAAGTTGCTACCTTGACTCTGATCATTTTATTTTATTAGGGTGGAAAAGCAAAAGGTATTAAGCTTTTGATGCATCACCTTCCTCCTCAAGTATTTTTCCATCCTTTGGAACCAAGCATGGAATCCCATCTTTGATCTAGCGTGTTAAGAGAAGCAAAAATCCTTAACAAAGAATCGTGAACATAAAGTGAAAGCTAAAAGAAACAGGAAGAATATGATTAAGAAGCAAAACCAAGTCTTAACATTGAATCGTGATCATGAAGTGAAATCCAAAAAGAAGAAGAAGAATATCATTAAGAAGAAAACAGCCGACCAATCATTATTCTATCAGTGAATCCCAAATCAACAACAAGAATAAATTCATTTTAAAATTTATTTGGTATGAAGCAAATGACAAAAACAAGTAAAGAATCAAGCTATATATATATATATATATATATATATATATATATATATATATATATATATATATATATATATCTCAATTTCTGATTTTGACAAATCCTAAAAGATCAAAGTTGGGTTGAGAACATGTTCACTGAATAAGAGAGATGATTCTGAAAGCATATATATGATAGTAGCAATTTGGTACAATTTCACTGCTTGGAGAGTTAATAAGAGTCATAAATATATAACTTTCATGGAGCCCAACAAAACACAAGCATCCGAATCGAAACGAGAAGCTTACAGGAAAAGAGACACCAATAGTATCGCTGACAAGTGATTTCGTCTTCTCGCAAAACCTATCTCAGCAAACAATTAATTATTCACCAACATTTCTTCAAGACCAATCGAATTTAAGCTAGTAAAGGAAGGAAATCGAACCTCAGAGGTTGCTTGGAGAGAGGGCACACCAGAATCTCGGAGAGGGTCTTGTCGATTGCATTGCCGGCGTCTTTTAGCAGCACTCTGTTTAGTCTCACCATTCTAATGCTTTGATCTTTTGCTCTCTCCGACCGGCGTTGGCGATAGTTTTGGACTTTTTTGAGTAAAACGCAAAACGCCCCTGTAAATTATAAAGTTTTTAGCTATGCACCTGAATTCGTATGTTTTGCAAAACGGTCCTCCAATGTGTATTAATGACTAATTAGGGGAGATTATGTTCAGACATAAGCCTCTATTTTTGGCAGTTCCCGTTTGACGCCCTCAATTCTAATTTTGTTAATATTCGTCCGTCAGTGTTAATAAATTTATTAAACTTTAATCGCTTAGCGTTAGAATGTCTATGGGACATTGGTTACAATTTAGTAATTTACACAGATTGCTTATTAACCTATTGGAATATGTTGATCAGAGAAAGTTGAAGCCTCAGGCGAAATATTGCAAAACTTTATTCTCACAATTTCTAGCTTCCCATGATTTTTGTATTGTATGTGTAAATATGACATGCTTCATTCAATTGCTCAGTGATTTTGCTTCACATCAAAACCATCATTGTAACGAATGGGTAACATCTACGATGATATCAGATCCACATTAAACCAAGAATATCCTTAATAAGCATGACAGGGTTTCAACTTCCTCTCATAGCTTGTGCAAGCATCTGAAATGCAGATTTAGACAACCTCTTCATCGTCCAAGAGCAGACAGTCTTTTATTTTCTCCCTGAAAGAATTGGAAGTCAATGTTACGAGTTTCACTCAGTTTTGATATTCGTATTCCTAGAGACATGAACTACCAATAATTCTGGCAAAACGAATGAAATAGGTTTTTTTGAAAAGGAATCCAAGTTTGAGATCAGAGATACTACTCACCTCAGATGAGCTTGACTGTCAACCTTTTGATGCTTCACTTGGGAAATCATGTGATCTGGTAGAAATGAACTAAATTGCTCAAGATATGATCCATCTTCTGGAAGTATTTGAAACCGGCAACTTGAACAGCAAGCAGCATAAAGGACATCAGCTTCCTGGCCTTCTTCAAAAGTATCCAAATCTGATGAGTCTGATCTATTTAGCGGGCCATTGCAGATAGGACAGAAAGCTTCAGTAGTCATGGATCCATCATATTTGAGATTGAATCTCTTTAGGCGCCTCTGAGTGGCCATAGGAACATTCGAGTCATCTGTTTCCGGAATTTTGTTGAAGTAAAATGGAGTCAGCTTTGCAGCTGTCCGTACAATTGTGCATTCCCGAGAAGGATTTTCTTCCTGCACAACGGATATAAAACCACGAGACAATTGAATAAGCAAAAACAAAGTAACAACAGGCAGCCATGCATGCATTAAAACATATGCAGAAGATGAACATTATCTGAACCTGCAACAGAGCGACAAATGAAGACACCAAATCATTGATGCCGCATTGAGAACGACAAGCCAACTCCACAGTCTTTAGACTGCCCTGCCCAGAATATGTCAGATGTCACTCAACAGTTGGATTATGGAAGAATACGGTTTATTATAACCATACAATATAGACTAGGCAGCCAATATACGAACCCATCCAAATGGCAGAGTCTAGTTATTTCCAGTCGGACACAATCTCGAAGTGGAAGTACAATGGGGACCTTCCATCTCGCATCAACATGCTGAATATCTGCTGATAGTGAATAACCTCGTCCCTGTCTCAAGAAAAAGCAATTCAACTCACAATTCTGATAGAACATAGTCTAAAGGCAATGTCCAAATAAAGTACACAAAACATTGCGTATTGAAATAAAATCTTTACACCAAAACTTCAATGTTTACAGATGTATGGTTAGGTCCAAAATATATACATTCTTTAAGGCTTTTTGGCATAAAGTTCTCACTCTACAATGCAATCTATAGAATACTAAGCCAGAGAATATACGAGTCAAATTAGGGTTACTAAGCAACACACCTTGACAGTAGCTGAAAGAACATGGGAAGCAATTCTCGATGTGCATGATCCCACCACTAATCTGTTGTACCCATTTTCAGAGGCAACCTAAAAAGGTTTATCAAACAACATTAAACATAAGATATTTCCAAACCTGAATTTCTTTCCAAACAGAAACACAACAATATAATACCCAAACCTTTTGCAAAGTCAGCATTTTCAGATGCAGCAGAAGGTCTTCTTTTCCAGTATCGTCAGGAACAGAATCTAATAGCTTTACCAGCCTATCCCGCGCGTCAAGAGAGTCTGAACCAAAGACGCTTTCGACAGGAACAACATGGAGATCCTTTGCAGGTGGAGACAAACTCGAGACAGTAGATCGAATCCACTCACTCGCATCAACCGTTTCAGTGGAAAGAGCAGGAAAAGCTGCAGTTTCATCCACAAACGCAACACCAACACCAAACACAGGTAAAGATCTATCTCTACTCGCCTCGTAATTCTTCAAAGCCTTGATTTGCAACTCGTGCACAAATTGAAGAGCAACCCTAACATGATACTTGCTACGCTTAGACAACAATCAATTGCGTTTAAAAGAAAACAGAAAAAAAAAAAAAAAAAAAAGAGAGAGAACAAAACCTGGAAGATGATCCACCAGAGAAAGCAACAAGGACGTTATCTGAAGGAGTGATCATGGCATGGGAAGTAACAGCGAGACGGAATTTCCCAAAGACGTTGTTCCTAAAACACTCTGCGCAGAATCTTCCATCGTCCGAGCCACCATCCCCAAATGTCATAGGCTCATTGCATTTACACTTGACGCAGACACTCTCCTGATTACCGCCACCAGCTACTGCATCTTCCACGGATATTTTACTTCCATTATCTTTCTCACGGTCATAGCAACCAGACTCACAGCCTGAGGAATTACAAGCCATGTCCAATTCGCAAACAGCTGAAACTGTGGAAAATTTTAGATTAGGAATTACAACACATAAGAGTAGATAAATGCTATCAACATCTAATTCATGAGAGACATAACCAGTATTAACAAGCTTATTAAGAGATTGTTACTTTACACGAAGCCATTAATCTGTTATACCCGGTCAGTATGTAATCCTATTCCACTGAAAATTGCTGTAAAGCGAAATAGAGTGAATAGATAGAGATGTGTGCAGACTCAAAATCGAAACAAGCAAATTAAGTGATTAATTACCAGTTTAAGAGAGTCGTCGCGATAACAGCGTTAGCAGTCCCAGGTAAGAAACTGTTCTAAAGGTCAGCCTCAGGCGATTTTGGTTTAATTGTTTGAAAAAGTCTTTACTTTGCTCAAACTAGGGTTTAGGAAAAACAAAATTGGGGAAGAAGATGATATGTGGTGATTTACGAGTCTACCCTTACCGATAAAACGATTACTAAAAAATTATGGATTTATGGTTTGATAAATGATAATAACGTTAACTTACGTAAACTGTAGACATTAAAAAGAAACCGACAAGTTTTGTCCAATTTAGGAGCTAGAGAATCATCAGTCATATCAATTTTTTTGTCGATATTTTAGGCTTTTAGCCATAGTAATGATGCCTCACATGCATTTCTTCATCTGTTTTCTTCTTCAAAGAACCTTTACTTGCTATGCAATATTAATATTCACCCACCAGCAAATCGTATATGTTCTCCTTCACTCATAAAAAAAAAATTTACTACTAATTTGACCCAAAACACAAGTTTGGTTAAATTGGCCATCACGATTCATGTGATAAGAAGTAGTTAGTCTATAGTCTATGTGATACACACCACAAATTGCTGAAATTTCGATGAGAATCCCAAATTAATTTACATACGACTCCAAAATTAAAACAAAGATATTAAGTGAGTAGTAAGAAGAAGAATCTCCTGTCATATCCAGAGTTACAACATATCGTTGTTTATGTTCACCTTTTGTGTAATAGAAGATTTCAATGTTCCATGAACTGCGATGAAGGTGGACTTATTTTCGTCTTCTCCGTACCTGCAAGGGTACCAAGAGGCGATCATTGTTCGTGCTACACGATTTAAAATCAAATATTGTTAAGATTATCGGTATGTAATTAATACCATAAGCCCCACGAATCTCTACTTCTCTCAGTTCTTGGACAAGAGCACAGCAACAACACATCAAATGAGATAGAAAATCGTCAATGAACCCTCCCTGTGATATCATAAAACATTAAGCCTTCAATCCAACTCTACATAGCGTGACTGACATAAACATAGCCATTTCAATCTCAACCATTCAATATCATACCATGATAGTTACTACTGAAATTTTCACGGACAAATGATAGCAATTTTCTCGTAAACATATAGATGTTTGGGATCAAATGTGATTAATGATAAGGGTTCAAGGGAGTGGATCAGAGAATGTACCGTGATGTTCAATGTCTTCCGGAGTTTCCTCCTTACGCAACAAGTATAGCAGCAACACGAAAGTATCAAAGAATACGCCATTAGCTCATTACATGCTTCAGCCGAAGCTGGGAGAGCGAAACAAAAAAAAAGAAAACAGATGACTTGTTAGTTTTCACATGTATTAACTAAAAACTGAAAAATAAAAAGTCACGATATTCGATATATCTCCTTACAGATGTGCCTGTTAGATGCTGCAGTGGCAATCTTTGCCAAAGTACCACACGGGAAAAAGAATGTCTTCAAGCCTGCGGTTCCATCATTGTATCATTTACAACTTTGCAGATAACAAGGAAGTATGGAATGTGAAACGCTAATCATCTATATAATAGAGAAAACAAAGTGGAATCACACTGGAAACAAGAAGTGGGGACTTACAAAGAGAAGGTTCCGAGCAACAAGCTAGTAAGTCGGTATGCCATTCTTCATGGTGTTGTGCCTGTGATGCTCTTCGTGAAAGCAGATCATGCCCAGATGAAACATTAGAAGTGGATCTGCATGGAACAATTGATGTTATAGAAACATTGTACCAAATCTTAGCCTTCAAACATGAAAACAGACCTGAAAAGCATTACAGTCACAGCAAAGAAATGGAGATTATACTTGCTTGACTTAAAAGGAAATTTGGATTTTTTAAGCAGAACAAACATGAGATTCTAACCTCGAAGCTGTACGACTACTGCTTTTCTTGGGAGAGTCTTCGTCATACGAATATTCTGTCTTCATGCTTGAGCTACGCTCAGACTTTTTCGAAGCTTTCTTTGTCAGCTCCTTCTCAGAGTCAGGTTCAACAGCAGCAGCAGCTTGTGTAACACCAATTAAACGCTGAATGACTTCACACTGAGCCACATTATAATGCTCCTGCGAACGCTGAAGTTCGAGCTGCAGTTTCTCGTTTTCTGTTTTGAGAGCTTCGCAGAAACGCAAGTTAGGGTATGAGCAAGAGAGAGTCTTCTTCAGCACTGATGCTGCTTCTCTGGTGGATTCTTGTTTCAAAATAACATCTTGCACATGTCTATCCTCTTCATCCAGAGTGTACTCACGCTGATCACGGTCAATATACTCAAACCTCTCCTGTAAGACAATCCATATTTCAACATACAAGAAGGTCAAAAAAAACTTCTTAGATCATAATTCAGGTGAAAATTACCCGAATGCGAGCGTTATCCACCAAAGTGATGAGAGGTATGATCTTAAGAAAACGATCAATCTCATCCTGATGTTTCCTGAACTGGTAAACAATGTTCCAACCCATAGCCAACAAGTAAAGATAGCTCCGGTCCCTACAGCTATTGACCAGAAGGTAAGACCTCCTCAAAGCATCCTCGAGCCCTTCGAGAGGCTCTCGAGTCTCTGGATACTTCTTCATCTCAGAGATCTTCAGCTGCTCAAGCAAATTCCCAATGAGTTTGAGATGTTGAGCGAATTGGCGACAATTCTTCTTGTGCATCCAAGCAGTATTGGCAGCTTTAACAATGAGCCCAATCAACTTGACGGCATCTAAACCAGTGAGCTGCGCCACTGACGCAATCTCCCCAAGACCATCCCATGAATGTGACATTTTCTTCTTCAATTCTTCTACACAAAGCGATCAACAATGGGAAAGGTCCAAAGCTCAAAATTTTTAAGATCCAAAACTTGGAATTATCGAGATTGTTGGGAAATTTAACCTTGACAGAGCTGATGTTTATGGAAATTGACGGAATGAGAGAGTTGGATCCAAAGTTCTACAAGGCCGGCATTGTTGACAGAGATCGAGTAGGAGTCAAGTTTCCGACGCTAAATCAGAGGTAACCACCGAGAGATTCAGATATTCCGGTTGAGAAATCGCATTATATTGAGGGAGTGAAGCGAAACTTGACTAAAAGAGGGAGCAGTTTCTTCGACTGAGACAACAAAAGCAACAAAGAAAAAGTCCATAAGATACCAATCAAAGAGATTCTCCAGGTCTCTAGGCTTTTCTACGTCAAAGATCTTCAAAACCAAAAAGAATTAAAAAAACTAAAATCCCTAAAGAAGATTTCTCTTTGAAGACTTGAAGCTGACGAAAGCGAAAGAGTAAAAATCCAAAGACCAGAAAGTAAAAGAAGGAAAACTATGAACAGTTACAACCTCCGACGATTGAATAATTCGCCGGCGACAAACTCCTCCGCGGAGAGTCAAGTCAAATGGAAAAATCACAGAAAACTTTTAAATAAATTAAAAAAAAAAAATGAAGAGAGAGGAGGAAACAATATTGGAAAGCTCACATGATGGCATTGAAGAAGGCAACAGATATACTTTTTCTCTTCACGGATTTCTATAAACTAAAAATTACCAAAATAAAAAGAAAATGCTAGAATATTTGATTTGAAGAAGAAGAACACTACTTGAAGTCTGGGAATTAAGTTTGCAGGAAAATGCAAAACCACCTGGAGATTTGTTCGAGAGAAGATTATCTCTGCAGCGTGAAGAGAAGAGAGTTAAATCCAGAGGCAGAGATGACGAGTCATATTGAGAAGACGGTTTGTTTTTGTCGATTTATGTATTTCTCTCATTTGCTTTCCTCCTCCCACACCTTCACTTGCCACTCGTCGGAGCTCAAGAGCACCCCATCCTGCTTTTTTTCCCTTGTATTTTACCCATAGACCCTGCAAAACTCTCTCTATTTACCAATTTGCCCCCGGTGACTTTTCTGTTTTTATTTATTTACCATAATAAAGTTTCATAATTCCTAGCTACTACTAGTAGTTAATGTGGTTTGTTACACGTTGGTGGGTATACGCGACATTGCTAAATAAATAACCTTTGTGTAAGAGTAGGACTAATGATACCTTAATAAGCTCTTAGAGTTTGAGATTATTATAAAAAGCCCTTGAAATTATCACTTTCCGGTTAAGTATTGTCTTACCAAAAAAAAAAAAAAAAAAAATGTGACCTTTTGTTGTCTTTTTTTGGTTGTCGGCATAAAATGACTTCGTCTGAAACGAATAATGTAATTCTTCGTTGTAATATAAGGCACAACGACGTCAAATATTGTTATTTGTTTTAAGTTGTGTATGTATATATGAACAATTCCAATGGCTACAATCTAAATTTTATGTATCCTTGTGACCACTGAGAAATTTGAAACTTCTGATATGAATAACTAGCAGGTGGCGTTAGTAATTTTAAGAGTAAAGCTAAGTTAGCTTGATATGTCATATATACTTGTAATTAGACTACAATTGTGCTATATTAATGATTCCATGTTAAGATAAGACGGATTATGAAGAGAGCATAGTTGGATATGTTGCATGTTTAAATAATTACAGAGAGAAAAAAATGAGATGTGATCGCTTGAACTTGATTTGTCTTTGAATTGCAGTGACTATAATGATAATGGTTAGAAGATAAGTCGTAGTCCATCAAAAAATATTTCAACTTTAGGCCCTTTTTCGGTTGAAATTGATTTGTCTTTGAATTGCAGTTATGGTGTAATTATGCCTTTTTATTGCATGTACTTTAGTTTAATTAACTTCACACCCATATTGATCTTGCTGCACGTGGATTACCATGATTGTTTTTTTGCACAGCTGGCGAAACGGACGGTAAACTAATAGTCTAATACTATTGGGTATATCTTTTATAGAAAGATATAGAATTTCTTTCACACTGATAATTAGGTTTTGAGACCAAAAATAACAATAGAAAACAAACAAATAAGAAAGATATTTGTGTTCGAAATTTTAGAACTACATCGACAAGAAACCCTCAAAAATATTACTACTTATCTTAACATTCTTGTTTGACACAGAGAAAAACAAAAAAGTTAAGAAATCAAAATGCAGAAAACTCAACTGTATTAACTAATTTTCTAAACATTTTAAGCGATAAACGTAGAAGGATTTTGGCAAGTCTCTCTATACAAAATGCATATGTGGGAAGGGTGGACATTGGTAGTGGTGGTGGTCCTGGTGGACTATGACTGCTACGCCCTCTATGTTTTCGTGAGTGCTTATACACCATGCGTTTTTACTCCATATATGTAACCATTTTTTTTCTTCCAAAAGAATATTACTGATTTTATCATTTAATTAAATATTAGTTTTCGTAAAGTGTTTAATACTATTACAGTTGCTTCATGACGACAATGATCAAAATATTTACTTATACAACCTTGTAAAGGTCCATTTGGTTCTTCTTTTTAACACATACATATTACACACAAAACTGCAAATTAAACTCCGATGCTAATCAAGTCCAAACAATATTTTTTAAAAAAAAAATGTACTGATCTAGTAGTTTGTATTAATAATTTTGCTTTGTATGTATTAGTGAATTGTATACTATATAAAACAATAACATACCAAAAAGTATCAGCAATACATTACACTAAAGAAAGTTGATGTCAACTACCCATTTGTGCTATAGGCCATTTGTTTAGGGCTGTAATGTATTTTAAAAGAGCAAGTAGATATATAAAATAATATATGTTCTTTAAACTTGTTGGAATGTATCATTTGCACGCCCATAAACGGTTTTGGATATATTGATGAATGTGTTTTACTACGCAGCAAACAAACTAAGTTAACTTAACTTTTGTAACTATGACATGTTTCTATAAACTACGCAGCAAATAAACACAGCCTAATTTATAGAAACATGTCATAGTTGTAAAAGTAATAAAGGGAACGTCTTATTATTGGAGGTAAAGAAGATAGACAAACTGTTGTTTTAGTTGTTAGGTGAATTGTCTCCATGTGATTTAGTTGGGAATAATCGTGCTTCTTACTTTATGTTAAAATAAATGTCTCGAAATGTCCTTATCTGTAACAATAAATGGGACAGCTAAATTTTCCATACACATTAAAAAAACAAAATCACTACTAAACATAAGTATTTGTACAATACTTTAACTAATTGTTTTTGGGTTATATAAGTGAAAATGGTCATCGAATGTCTAACACTTTGTCGGAATCGGATTTATAAAAAATAGTTTAACAGAAAAAGTACCTCTCAAAATCTGCATTGCTTCTGACCACAAATAAAATAAATTACTAAACTATAAGCATCAACACACTTTAGGAACAAAGTCTTAAATATATATTTTTCATTTATCAATGCTATTACAAATACTGTATACAGTAGTTGATTAGTTTCCCCTTTTTCAGTCAGCTTTCCAATACAAAATAAAGTTCGACTGATGTAATATACTAATTGTAAATTTAAAATTCACTATTCCGATTAACTTACAAATCAACATATTGTTTATAATTTGATAAAACGACTGTATACATTTTACAAACACATATATAAAATACAATATAACTTCATAAAATAAGCTGTCAAATATATATATATATATATATATATATATAAATAAAAATTCATGTGCTAATCAACTAGCATGTAACATATACTAATCATATCTTAAAAAAATACATTTAACTAGGATATGACCCGCGGTACACCGCGGGTTAATTATTTGATTTTTTTATTTTTATAAATTGATGAATTTATTGTGTATAATATTTTTTGTTGTATACCGCGGGTCACATGCGTTGTATCTAAAATAAAAAATTTTAAGTTGTATTTGTTTTGTTTAGTGTTTAAGATTGTATAATTGTATTTTGATTTGTTATTTATATGATTTCACCTGTGGTATATTGTCTCGTATTAATATTGACCCAAACCCGTCCAACCATATAATCTAAAATGAAATTAAACATCATTTTGTTATTTTTTTAATAACACTTTTATTTAAATGTCATATAATTCGAGTTAATTTGAAAGTTGCTTTCAAATAGTTTCCATGTATATTTTTAAATTAGTGTGTGTTTTTGGACCAACCCGTAAAAACAATTTATAATTGTATCTTAAAATACTAATTAGGATTTCACCCGTGATATACTGTCCCATTTTAGATAATTGTAAAAATTAAAGAAAGATCCGAATGACTCAATTTCGGGTCTGAATAAAATAACGACATGATTAAATGCTCAATTTGTTCTTAAAAATGTTAATATAGATTACACACATATTTTTATTCATCGATTGAGTAATATATGTCCGTTTTAAAAAATTTGAATTGTAACATATGCAGAAAAAAAAAACTAAAATTTACTAACTATTTATATATTTTATAATAATTTAAAATAATATAAATATAAGATCAAATAAAAGTGAAATAAGAATCATATATTTATGTTTAAATTAGGTAGAGAGGTTTTAGGAAATTAGTGCAAATTTGTTATATTAGCATTAAATCATCATATTTGATTTCTTTATCTTTAAAAATCGTGGAGAATATACCATAAATAAAGCGTTTAAATATAGTAATTAGTTGAGAAAGTATATATATATTTTAGATTTTATTAATTATTTTCGTTTTTTAATTTTGCCAAAATTTAAGGAAAGATCCGATTGAAGATTTCCGGGTCAAAATTAAACAAATTTGACCCGATTTGGGTACCCCAAAAACTGCTGCAAAAATGTATAGTAGATATATGCTAGCATATGAATAAATTATACTACCGATTAGGATAACCCGTAAAGTCTAATCCGTATCAATAATTCTAGTTTTGTTTAGTATATTTTTTTCTGTAATGTAATAGCAGCTAATGAGTTCCAGGTGTTTTGATTTCGGTTATTTTTGATTTGTTACAAATGGGACTCATGTTTATACAAATGGGCTAAACTAATTGACTAGTAAGCCCATTTTTTCACACAACTCTGTTATTGCTTTATGGGCCCAAACCGAAATGGACTTTTCCTAGACAACTGTATTCTCGTCGTCTAGCTGTGCGATTGAAGATACCAGACAAAAATACCCCTCACGTGAAGTAAACAACGAGAAAAGGAAAATTAATTACCAACACGAGAAAAAAAGGAAATTCAGATATCGTTTTGTGATTTATCGAAAATCTTTTTGTTATATAGTTTCCCAAATTTTGAATCTATTAACTCAATTAATAATCCAAAAAAAAAAACTCACAAGAAAAGCCACACTCGTAATTAATAAGGCGTGATTTGGGTTAATAGTGTCCTTTTTTATCATTCAATTCAATCATGCTAATTACCCCAACATTGGGCTCGCAACTTAATAGCTCATCTTGTAAATTCCTAACTTACCCTTCATTCCCAAAGCGTGCCCACTTGGATAAAAGGGTAAAAGCGTCATTACAAGAAATGATTAAAGAATAAAGTAAAAAAGAAAAGTCGTAGTACTAAAACATCTTTTAAAATAAAAATAATCAGTCGAATCTATCTGAACGCGCAATCTCCGCCGTAGCTAGTGAAAAATGGTCCCACGTCTCCGATAATCTAGGCTTAACCAATAGTAACGTACCACGTATAGCGATTACTTTGGTAATTGTAGTGTTTAGTGAAATTGTTTTGGCGGGCGTAATTAATAAATTCAAAATCAGAGTCAAAATTAAAAACAAAACCCTAGCGCCTCTTTTTTTGTTCCATTTCTCTCTCTCTCTCTCTCTTGCTCAAATCGATTCCCTCCCTTATCGCCATTTCTCCCTCCATTTTCGCTCTCTCGATTTCGAGCTTCCTCTCTCCGCCTATCGAATCTCTAATTTGAAGCTGATTCTTTCTCGATCTGGATGTTTATCGAAGAAGAAGGTCTCTATTAATTTAGGTAATTCCTTCTCCGTGCTTTTTTTTTCCTTTCCGATTTTTAGGGTTTGAATTTGCTGGAGATTCTCCAACTTCTCTGATTGGGTAATTTTTTTTCGAGTGTAATTGATTGAATCATTGGGCTGAGGTTTAATTTTTCAATTTCTTCATCCATAGTTATCATTTTTGATCTAGCGAGAGCAATAAGGCGATTGCTTTAAGTCTGGATTGATGATTGTTGCTGTTTTCTTTAGTTGTATAGGTACTTAATCTATTGGAAAGTGTTGTAGTAGCTGTAACTGTTAAAGACTAGCATAGATATGGGGAAGGTGTCTCCAAAAGACTTGGATTCTAAAACCTCGGTGAGGAAAAAGAAGTTGAAAGGTTCAGGTAACAAATATTTAAAGCCAGGGGCTTTGGTTCAGCTTTGTTATAGTAAAGCATCGGCTGCTAAGTCATGTAATGATTTGGGGAAGAAGCGAGTACCTGTATTTGATACTAAGCATGCAAGGAACAAGAAAATGGCGGCTGAGCATTTGAATTCTCCCAAAAGCCCTCTAATGTTGTCCCCTGTCAACGTTGTTAAGCGGAGTACTCTGGTGAGGCCAATGAAGTTTGATGATAGTAATAATAGTTGTAAGAAAAGCCCTTTAATGTTATCTCCAATGGGTATTGTTATGCAAAACACTTTGGTGAGGACACCAAAAACTCCACAAGCTGATCCTTGCAATTCAGAATCTCAGCTTGAATCTCTTCCCATGGATTTACTGGTAATTTATTCAGTTACCTTCACTTCACAGGTTCCTTTTTATAGTCATCTGAATGTATGAAGCCTGTGCCTTGATGCTTTATTTTCAACTTTCTGTATTTTACAGGTTAAAATAGTTTGTCATCTGCACCATGACCAGCTGAAGGCAGTTTTCCATGTTTCTCAAAGAATAAGAATGGCTGTATGTTCTCTTCCCTATTTACTTGTTTAGTTTGCATCCATAAAAGCTCTATCTTTTTTGCTTTGCTATTTAACTTCTTGGTCATTAATATCTTTTGAGTTTCCTTTTGAAACAGACCATTCTTGCAAGACAATATCATTTTAATTATACAACGCCAGATCGCTCAAGACAGGAAATGTTGAGTGTCATGACCCCAATGCCAATAAATCGTTGGCCATTCCGTAGGTACATGTTTTGCTTCAATTTTTACTATTTCGAAAAGAGCATCAAACAGCTTGTTTGGCTCTTAACAAAACCTTCATTAATCTAAATTAGCAGAGGAGATGGAAACCCAACAATGGTGTCAAGCCCACATACCCCAAAAGCGCCAAAACATGCACCTCGTCCACCCTTTCGAACCAAACTCGCAGAGATGAAGCAAATCACTGCTGTTCTTTTCCAAGACCAGACACCGTTTCCTTCAAGGTGCATCGTTCCTTCTGTTCTCCAAAGGCCGACTTTGTTCAAACCAATGGCTCCAAAGCACCCTCGAGTGCTCTTCTATGAGGATGAATTATGTCAAGCTGTTGCTCAAAACAACCTTACCTGATTACACTTGCTGCAGTCAGACTCTTCATATCGGTTTCCTCTCTCTGTTGATATTAGGTTTTGTCTTCATTGCATTATTGATCATTGCTCTTGATGATCATCATTTCCTATAGTAAGAAGAAGCATGCAAGTTTTGTAGCAGTGCTAGTTCAGGGTCTTAGATTTACATGGCAATCTCGTAGTATCATTTAAGGTTTTTAAGTTTTTCAGTCTCTGAGTTTGCATAATAAGCTTCTTTGATTTGATCAGTTGAGTCTTGTGTATATTTTTCTGCATATCTTTTGGATCAGTGGGTTTTTTTTATAAATATAATTTGATTGCTTTTGCTTGCTTTCATCTCAATATTGGTTATTAAGTTCTCCAATATACCGTACTAAAATGGTAAAACCGGATATTATAAACCGTCCTAAAATGTTAAAACCGGATATTATAAAATCGATTGAACTGAATTAGAATCGGTTCCGGATTGGTTCGTTAATGAAATAAAATTATATCGAACCAAAAACCGAGTTTTGTAGTATCTCGTAAGGCTTCTGATATAATTGGGCCTATTTACGGTCTTATAGGCCCAAACCTTTTTGCCGAAGATCCATTATTGAAAAGTAATCATATGACGCGTGTGTATCTCTGTTGCCAAACAAGACTTTTGTCCCTTGTAGGGCCAATCCTTTATTTGGCTATAAATAAAGGTGGTATGTCTTCTTAACAAACACTTTTTCTCATCGGAGAGCTTCGAAGGGTTCTGAGATCTCGCGGCTCCTTCGATCTTCTCCGCTCAACTATACCTCTGATCTTCTCCTTATTTCTACTGTAACTTCGTAGATTTGATTTTGGCGCGTTATTAGAAACCCTTAACATCTTTAAACCTACTCGAGGTCTCTCGTGATCGATCTAGGGTTTCGCGAGATCTGAGATTTCGTCTTTTCCGATTCACCTTCACAATCCAATTTTTTTTGTTGCTTGGATTTGTTGTTTGTGTGTAATCTCGTAAGATGTCTCGGTGTTTCCCGTTCCCGCCACCTGGTTATGTACTGAACGGAACCCGCGATGAGGCTGTGATCGTATCGATCAAGGTTTGTTTGAGCATTTAAATCTCTCACATGGCTTGGGTTTTTGGTTTCGGGTTCATGAGATTGCGAATGCTCAGCTTCCTTGTGTTTCCAGTTTTCTGGTATCTGTGTTCTATAGGGTTTATACTAAATTGATGGAAATTTGTTGGCTTGAAAGATGGGAGATTGAATGTTGCGAGAATTTAATTGAAAAAGATGATCTTAAGTTTTACTTAAGTAAAAAAAAAGCACGGATTCGAATCAATGTCCCTATATTATTAATCGGTTCGTTTAAGGTGACAATTTTAATCAAAAGATGCGAGTCAAGTACATTGTTTTACTCTTAACCAAAATGTGTAATTCACTAAATGTGCAAAAACCAAAATGTGTAATTCACTAAATAGTGATGATCTATTCGAGGGCTTGTTTCTGTTTGATTTATTGAATTTGGCAAGTTCTGTGAATTAATCGATGTTCCATTACTTGTGTAAATTCAGGGGGCGCAGGAGAAAGCTAAGAAAGAACAAAGTAGGAAGGAGAGAAAAGATAAGAAGGAGAAGAAGGAGAAGAAGAGGAAGGAGAGGGAAGGAAAGGAAGGTGTAAGCGAAAAGCACAGTCATAAGAGACGGCGTAAAGAAGAAGGTGCCAAAGATGGTCCGAATCAGAAAGTTGATCGTTTTCACAAACTAAAAGAAAGTGAAACCAATTGTTTGGAGAAGAGCAGCCTTACTGTAGAACGTGAGCTGCTTCAGTCGACGTCCCAGAACTCTTGTGATAGCACTCTTAACAGCAATGAGATATTACCGAAGCAGAAGGAGAAGCAGCAGCCTCTCGATGGTAGACATAACAACAACCAGAAGCAGAAGGAGAAACAGCAGCCTCTCGATGTTAGACATAACAACAACAACGACTCTGGTGAGTTTGTTTGTGTTTCTTCCTTTCTGGGGAAGGATCTTGTATTCTTGTTGGGTCTAATTTCCCTTTCAGGACATTGATGACATTCTTTCTTCAAATTGTTGATATGAATTTGAAGAAAGCATCATTCGGATTCGATTGCCTATTCGAAGGCAGAAAGATCCCGAGGTGATGATGACCAATAAGGATCAAGAAAAACCAGGTCCTTCCCGGGGAATAAAGTTTGATTCGTCCCAGCTTGCTACTAGAGAGCCTGTTAATCAACATTCTTGTTCCACTTCTGCACCAGAACATGTCTCAAAGCCACTAGAAGAGAAAAGGAAAGATCCCTTTTTTAGAGGAAAACTCGGTAAAGAGAAGATATCCTCATCCGCTACTCAAGAAACTTATCAACCCCCTAAAAGCCTATGCAATTGCCCTCCATCCATGGTTTTGCAATTCTTGAACGTAGTTGAGAATTGGGTCCCTAACACGATCGAAAGAAGAGTAGACCTCATTAACTCTGAAGATGAAGAATGTTGGTGGTCCAAGAAGAAGCCAAGTAGCCCCACAGAAATATGCAAACAACTTAACAGAAACAGTGAGATCAAGCAAGTAAGCAATTCAATGGGGTGGCCATGTGCTCGCCTTTTACCAGAAGCTGATGTCTACGCCTTACCTTACACAGTCCCGTTCTGATAAATTCAAAGAGCAGGAAGTTTTTAACAAGGAATCTGGTCGAGACATCCATGTTCTGGACCAGACATTTTTTGGTTTAGCCTTAAAATTCCAAGGTTGTATTAGAAGAACACAGTGTTTGTTATTCTTTGCGGTTGGTAACTAATATAGTAATATCAGTATTGCGTCTCAACCTCTCGTGTTCTTACAATAATAGAATGAGAAATCGAAATGGAAATTTCATGTGAGGTGGATCAATAACATCATCATAATTGATAAAACATTTGTAAATGCCTAAACATTAGCTCTCTCGGCTATCAGTTAAAATAGAAGTTGAATTAACCCCACAATTCGTTTTTAAGATACTAAGAGATCACAATGAATACGGAAAACAAGAAAAATGAAAATCCAATACTTCTTAAAACCACCCTGATGACATCTCAGAGAGCTTCCATGAGAGCTATTACAAAATGGAGCAGGCCTTTTGTGCTTTGTTCTTCTTTTTCTTCTGCTTTGGAGGTTGAAGGACCACTCTGATCGCTGCATCAAACACGCCCTTCACGTTCTGCAGAGAAAGTCACAATTGTTTTAATGAAAAAAATTGAAGGATCCAACATTGAAAAATTGATCAATGAGTTGCCTTTTCTTCGTTTACCTCTTGTGATTTTGAACTGCACTCGATGTAAGCAGGCGCTCCAATTAGCTTCTTAAGCTCCTCTCCCTTTCATGCAGAGGGGGCAAATGATTAACGGGTATGGTAAAACTGATAAAATTACACTGAGGAAATAAACGTATTCTTACCTGAGCAGTGGTAATAGGGACAGCACCAGGATGGTCGATGAAGAACTGTTTGTCATCCCGAAGATCTGACATGAACCAATGTTAGAAAATCAAAAAAGCCAGGATCATAGATTCAGATGCAGCAAACGATGGTGAGTGACAACCAAACATTTCACTGAAGATGTTGCAAAATGCCTTTAATAAAAGTATACACTTGTTATACATTAGTAATTTCATTGGAGGATGCTTAAAGGCGTGTGATCCAGGTCACTAAAAGTTTTAAAAAGTCATCAGAAGAAGGTTTGCTTATCACAAGAAGTGCAAGATAGAAGAAGAAACCTGTTGACCAATGAAATTCTCTGAAAACTAGCGTCAGTTTCACCTAATGAATACATGTTGAACATGTACAAATTTGAACCACAAGCAAGAAAATGTGAAGTTATGTCCACTAATGTCATGATATATATATATACATCAGAGCAGCTTAATAAAGTGAAAAAGAAAATGGCTGTGTAGTGTAGGTGCAGATTCTCTCTATATTATTAGTAGGCAATGGGAATCAGACGTATATGTAAGTAAATGCATGAAAGCAAAAGCAAAAGTGAGAGGAACTAGTTACCAAGTTTGGTTCCAACGAGGACAATTGGGACACCAGGAGCATAGTGCTTCAACTCTGGGATCCACTGTAAAAGAAAAGATGAAGCAGCAAAATGATAAGGGGATTTGGAACTCTCTCAAATGTGCAAAAAAGGGCGAAACTGTAGAAGAAGAGCAGGGAGAAACAGACGAGACCTTCTTGGAAACATTCTCATAACTAGCCTTACTAATGAGAGAGAAGGCAAGAATGAAAACATCGGCACCGCGGTAACTCAAAGGTCTTAATCTGTTATAGTCCTCTTGCCCTGTATTATTATCAAAAACATAATGATTTAGACCAAGGAAAGGTCTCCCCAAGGATTGTTATTATCATTGATTTACCTGCAGTATCCCACAATCCAAGATTCACGGTGGCTCCATTAACAACCACATTTGCACTAAAGTTATCGAAAACAGTGGGAACATAATCCTGGAAATATACAACATTTGAGTTTTTTTTTATGGATCCCAATTCATCAATCAGACGAAAAACATGAATCATATAAAAAAATCACACGAATTCAGACAGACAGATATGTGATTACCGTGGGAAAAGTGTTGCTGGTGTAGGAGATCAGCAAACAGGTTTTACCAACAGCTCCATCACCAACGGTGACGCACTTTATGAACCTTGAAGCGCTCATTGCCTCCACCTCTTCTTCTTCTTCACAATTGCCAAAAAAACAAGATAATCAACCTCAGATTTAAACCTGAGGAACCCAGAAACACCCACAATGTGAAGCCAATTCCTCCGAATCTTCCACCATTTATCTTTCAATTAACAACCATCTCAAAACCCTAGATATATGTAAAATGTGGCCCAAAAGGGAAATCAGAAATGTGATGATCAAAACAAGGAAGATGAATGAATAAACAAAAAGGAAGGAACGTGAGGACGATGAATTGGATGCGAGAGAGAGAACAACAACTAGAGAGAGAGAGAGACCAAGTAGAGAAGAAAGTGGTGATGGCCGCAAATAATTGCCATTGAAGCGTTCGTATATCGATTAATCTCCGCCATTCATCCTCCCGATTGTTTTGCTTCCTTTTTACTTTTTTTACTTCTTCTGTTTTCTTTTTTTTTTTTTGTTTTTCTGTTTTTGCAATTAGTGTATTTGCAATATGAAATTTCCGTTTTAGTCAATTTTTTTTTTAAACATAGGTTTGATTCATAGTTTTATTCAAATTGTATTTTAATTTTTCTTCTTCCTCGGCAAATATTTACAAATACTAAAAATTATACGCGTTAAACTAGGCAAAATATCCAAAATTCGATATACGATTTTTGACCGAATTTAAACATGTTTGGACCCAATGCTACAACGGTTCAGATAATTTGGATAGATTTCAAGGATTTGTATTGTTTGTCATAAAGTGACAACTTTTATAGCCTATAGGAGTATACTGTGACCAAAGTTTAACTATCTTATTTGTATGACAAAGTGTGGTAGTAATATCTAAAGTGAACCGGGCCTTGTGGCCTAGTGGCCTTGTGGCCTAGTGGTAAACGTTTGAAGTCTAGAAGTTTTCCTAGTCTTTGGGCCTAGGAAGCCTTTGGGAGACCCGCGGTTATTCAAAAAAAAAAAAAAAAAAAATATCTAAAGTGAAGTCTAGAAGTTTAAAAAAGTTTGCATTCAAATATATAAACGTTTATTTTTCTTTGAAAAAAAAAATTCTGCCAAAAATTGCATAAAGATTGCAATAACTATCATCTCGTCAAACTAAAAAATGTTACTAACAGATATTTTACGAGTATTTGTCAACAAATAATGGTCATATTTTTCTGCGATGCATAAAGAATGAAATCTTTCGTCAAGATAAAATGCCTTACGTGTAGGAAGAAAAATTGTCTCTGCTAATGAACTTATTCGGATCAAAGTAACCTGCGACAAACAAGAAAACGTTAGGAATCTCTAACTCTAACTAAGCAGCATGACATTAGTTTGTCGGAAAAGCTAGCATTCGAAATGTTCAAACTTCAATGTAAAGAGAGTTCGTAACAGATCGCTTATTTGTATAGTCTATGAGAGAATCACAATTTTAACAAACCAGGATTCGTGGAGTTGGAATCAGATTTATCAAAGCATCATTCCAAAATTACACCAAAACGACAAGAAACTATAATATCTCTTTCTCACTATGACTACAGTTCCCAAAATCAAGATGTTTCAGAACATACATGGTTCTTCAAACAAAAAGGAGAAACATCAGATTCTTACCAAACCCAAAAGCAGAGTCTGAAGTATGAAGTCTAAACCGCCTCTCTGTTTTTCTTTCTTTGCATTCGTTGCAATGAAATTTCATGAAAAACCTTCCGTTTCTGGCTATTTGCTCGCAGAGAACCTGCAAGAACACTGGAAAAGGAAAACAGAGGAAGAGATGAATTTAGACAAAGTTAAACAGTGTAATGCGTAAAATTGAAACTGACGATGCTCTAGTAAGAAGAAGAGAACATGAAAGTGTTCGTCGAATAATTCTTACCAACCTTAAAAGCAGAGTTCTACGAGTGACTACGAGAAACCTTGGACGAAATTTGTTGAATGGAATGAAACTTTGCTCTCGATAAACTTTGGACGAAACAACGAGAATAGTAAGTGATAATACAGAAGAAGAAGAAGAAATGACTGTGGTAAGTAAGTGAGTGAGCACGAACCACTTATATAGGCAGCTTCGGATTTCTTCTTTCAATGGCTACTTCTTTAACGTCTATATTTTCTTACCGTTGTAAATTTTGAGTCTCAAATAAGTTACCGTTTGTGAATGAGGTGACAAGTGACTTCACGCCTGGGTGAAAATTACACAACAGCAAAAACTAAAATCATTCATAATAAGCCCAATGGGCCTAGAGAGACCCAACTAAACAACCCTAACCAACACTAAAATTAAGGACACAGTTGGTCACTACTCACTAGTGTATAATTAAGTTATTATCTATACTAGTATAATCGCAACACTTTTTGTGACGGATGTGTAAAAAAGCTTTCGGGTATATCGGATATCCGACCTATTTAAAAAATTCCTTCACAAAAAAATTATTGGGTCGGGTTATATTTAACCCAACTCATACACCGGATATTCCATATTTAATAATTTAGATTTTTAGAAGATTTGATTAAGATTTATAATTATGATTCTTCTATCATAATTTGTTTTTAACTGTTTTGAATCATCATATAATACATAAAATAAAATAAAAAATCAATTTTTTTTCTGCATATACTGTGATTCGAAATTTTTAAAACGGACATATATTATCCAATTGACGAAAATGTGTGTTCAACGTTCTACATCGATTAAAATATTTAGACAATGATTCAGAATCATATCATAAATAAGAACATTAATAAAATAAATGAGTTTTTTGGCGGGATGGGTTTGGCGGGATGGGTTTTGAATCAACAATAATAAAAAAATTAAAATATCATTAATCCGTCGCTTCAATACGGATTTAATCATTATTTTTTTTAATACAATTCACAGGACGGGTTAAGAAATTACGGAACGGGTTATATTTCGGAAATGATTTATATGGCGGACGAATTTGAATCAATATTTATATACCGTTTTAATACGGGTTAAATCTCAGTTTATTAATAATTATCTTGTGGACTCGTGGTATACCGTTACTTAATAACAATTGTAAACTATAATATAAATAAATATGTTATAAGGAGATACAATTTACAAAATATTTTTATACTAACTTTAAAATTAAATCATCCCGCGGTGTACCGCGGGTTAAAATCTAGTTTATTGATATAAAACCTTCACAACGGTCGTCTCTCTCTCAAGGAGCATCACAGCCCTCAATGGTACGGAGTAGGAACCAAAACGCTTGTATTATCTCTTATGGATCAGAATGTCATATCTTGTTCAAAACTGAAAATGTCTAAAACTTATCCTTGATTTTATTTGTTAATACAATAACCAAATCATTTAAATCAAATTGATCTCAACAACCAAGGTAGTTTAGTGTTAGGTAGAACCTTCTTTGGAAATAGTTATGAGTTATGACTCCTGGTTCCAGATCTGGTAGCTACGGGATGGTAATTACAACTTTATAATAAACTATATAGTCGCATAGATGAAAAATTGAATATATGCGAAGATTAGCAAAAGGGTTCTCCCAAAACTATAATTAATACTTTGCTTTCTCCATATGACAAAACATTCTTCTCCTTTAGACTCTTCTTCAATCCTATTTATATATTCATCCTTCTGATTCATTCTTCAATCTTATTCATTGATCTGAGTTATTTTACTTGCTCTTTCAAAGCTTGACAATGGCAGTGAACGTCGATGCAGAGTACCTCAAAGAGATAGAGAAGACTCGTAGAGACCTTCGAGCTCTCATCTCTTCCAGAAACTGTGCTCCCATTATGCTCCGTCTTGCGTAAGATCTTTGCTCTCAGAATCATTCTTCGTCTTTATTTATTGTCTTAATCTTTCCAAATGCAAATTATTGTGTGCATATAGATGGCATGATGCAGGAACCTATGATGCCAAGAAGAAAACCGGAGGTCCCAATGGATCAATCAGGTTCAAGGAAGAGCTAACCCGTCCACACAACAAGGGTTTGGAGAAGGCAGTCGCTTTTTGCAGTGAGTTTATGATCAAACCTTTCCTCCGTTGCTACTACTCTTCAGGACCTGACAATAAACGGTTGCTGTTTCCTTTGATGTCTAAATTTTGGTTTCTAATTTCAGAGGAAGTAAAGGCTAAGCATCCACGAGTCTCTTACGCAGACCTCTATCAGGTAAAAATTGTGTAATAGCATCTCTAAGCCATTAAACTCATAAGAACTTTCTTCCCCCTTGATTTAGCTTGACAAATTTTTGGTTTCATTTCAGCTCGCTGGAGTTGTTGCAGTGGAGGTTACTGGGGGCCCTGCAATCCCATTTACACCAGGCCGTAAGGTAGTTACACTTACCGCTAAAGCGTATGCGTTAAATATTAGTTGCTAAGTAAGTTTACTAATGTTGAGAAATATGGTATCAGGATGCTGATTCCCCGGACGACGGAGAACTTCCAAATCCAAATGAAGGTTACTCACGCAGCTTGTAGCTCCCACAACGGAATTCTATTTCACAAACTGACTCAGCCCTCCTTTTGGATTATTGCAGGTGCCTCACATTTAAGAACTCTCTTCTCTCGTATGGGTCTATCGGATAGAGACATTGTGGCTCTCTCTGGAGGTCACACTTTGGTACTATTACTAACTCTCCTTCAAAATATTCGCCAGTCACTAAACATGCTCCAATACCCAACTTGGTTCCTACTTTGTATATAGGGGCGTGCACATAAGGAGAGGTCAGATTTCGAAGGTCCTTGGACACAAGATCCTCTCAAGTTTGATAACTCATATTTCGTGTAAGCCAACAACAAAATCACAGAGAGTCAAAGCGAGAGAGAGTGAGAGTTCCAAAACTTACATTTTCTGCTGATTGATTTTTTCAGAGAGCTTCTAAAAGGGGAAACTCCTGGATTGCTACAACTGAAAACCGACAAGGCTCTACTTGATGATCTAAAGTTCCACCCTTTTGTTAAGCTGTATGCAAAGGTAGATTAGCTTTCACACGATTATAAGAAACTTTTAGTTTGGATGATTCTCTGGTTTCATCAACACAAAAATGTATTATGATGTGTATGTCAGGACGAGGATATGTTCTTCAAAGCCTATGCAATTTCACACAAGAAACTCTCAGAACTAGGATTTAATCCGCCAAGAAGAATTCCTTCAGCAGTGACGGAGCAGACGCTTGGAATCGCTGTTGCTGCAGCTGTGGTGATCTTTACCATATGCTACGAAGCAAGCAGAAGAGGCAAGTGAGGAGGTTTCACAGATGCGTAAAAGGACAAGAGAAAAATTTTCAAATGTTAATTGAATGTATGCAATAAATAGAAAGATTCATGCAATGTTACCTCCATGCTCCTTTTCAAGCTTCAGTGCTTTGGAATTGTCCCAGAATTATGGATGTTACATAGCAGTATGTGAACTCTCTCGCACATGGTTCTCTCACAAACAGTGACTACTTTTACCAAGTTAAAGAAAGTTTTAACTGAAAAACGAACTGTGTGGATGAGAAGATAAAGTTTCTATAGAAAGAACCAGGAGTATCAATAGCTGATTGGGTTGCAATAACACTCCAACTTTTGACTACTCATAGTGTCCATAACAAACAATCTGACTCAAGAAACCATGTTACTCTATTCAAGAAATGGGAAACATCGAGGTATGTCGGAAGAGATTATACAAGCAGAATATCATTTCGCAGTAGCAGCATAGCATTTATTTTTCAGAACCACACATTAACATTTAAGACTATCATGGGAAAAATCAAAAGTAAAAACTTGATAAGTAGGTTCCTCGGCGACAGACACTTAGCCAGTAATCCACTAGCATTCTATCTTATGAGACCCTGACAAGTCAAGAAAAAACTAGAATCAAAGTGCCCTGAAACTATCCGTTTTATCTAGCCTGGCAGTACCAGAGCTTGATGATTCGCCAACTGGATCAGGAGAAGTTGCAGCTCTAGAAGATTCTCTTCTTTTCAGAGAAGTTGGCAATCCAGAGATCTCCTATAAAAGTAGCTAGAGTCATCAACCTAAAGTGTTCATACTCAAATCACACTAGAAAAATAACTAGACGGCAGAAACAATTCAATAACTTACCTTCATCAAATGCAACCTCATGTCAGTAGGACGAGTCTGGTTACCGATGCAGGCCATTGCAAACTTGGAATAACTAAACAACACATCAGCAGCAGCTTGCTTCTTCTCATCAACCTATAAGAAGATATCATCAGCTAAACTTTTTCAATAATAATTAAACAAGAAACCCCAAAAGTCAAGAACTTTATTAAGAATCAGAAAGAGAGAACTCAGCTAAGAGTAATCATGAATCGTCTTGATCAGAAATGAAGTGATACCATTCACTAATAATCCTAAAGCTCAGATTTTTATAAATTGTTTTTTCCCCATTCCATTAACATTGAAGAAACCATAATCCGCTTGGATCCCTAATAATCTGAATTTCAAAACACAAAAAGAATTCAATAAAAGCCGAAGAATTAGAAAGCAGAAGTCACAACACCTCGTAATCTTCTGTCATGGCGGAGAAGGGTATTCCTCTGTTTGGCGTTGCTGCTCTCCTCTGGTCTTGTGTAGAAGACAGCTACCACAAAGTGACCTACTTTAGCTAATTTGGTCAGAGCTTCGAATTCGAGAAACTCCAAGCTCGCAAGTTCGAAATCTGTTATAGGGGACTATTCAGATATTAATAGGTTTGTTTGATAATTTCTCTTAAATTGTGGGGCTGAAAGTAGAAATACACACTATTTTGATTACCATAAAACGCCGTGTAGTTTATTTTGGGTGCGTAAAAACGACCAAGCTTGTGACATCACACTTAATTACTTGTCCGAACATGTTTTTGATCAAATCGAAGGGTCTTTTTTTTTGGTTTTAGGATTTGATTTTGTTCTTATTAAAAAGATCAATCAGTATACAAATCGATGAATTATTGGAAAGGTTCGTTCAATTTTAAGGTTTAGCATATTGTTGTATATTAAAGAGACTATAAAACACGAAATGCTTTTGATTTGGATTAAACTTGCGAGATATCAGAGAACAAATAATACTCACTTTATATCCTATTTAGCGGTTACCAATCAAACCCATTATCTAAAATTATATCTATGTATGTATAAATCTCATGAATCTTGAAGAAGCAAAACACTTTGCATCAACAACAACACAACAAAACCTAATCTTTTTAAAACCTCTATTGTCTGTTTAATCCTTATTTACCAAGGCAATGAGATTTGATGTACAATCAACACAACATCATTAGCCTACTTAGAACTCTTTTTCCCCTTCTTTTTCTCTTTAGCTGCCGTTTTAATTGCGGTTTTAGCGAGTGATGATGGCTTCATGGCACTCTTGGGGTTAAGAGCTTGTCTGATCTTGAAAACAGTCCACGCTGTTCCAATAGCATGCCCTGCTGCGCTAAGCCCTTCATTTGTCGCCTGTGCTGTCTTTGCTCCATACCTACCAGTTAGTAATATCAAAAGATTAACCATCCGAACAGTAAAAGACTGAAAAACAACCACCAATGTTGTTTTGGCGTAAACACGTTCACTTACTTGTGATCGACGATTTCGGTAGCGACATTGGAAGATGTTTTCATAACGTTCCTTCCCGCTACTTCAACAGCATCACAAACCTTGTCTGTCAAAACAATAAAAGAAAACATCCCAAAATGCATATCAGAAGAAGGAACCTCCAATAACATCATCATCATGAAGAAAAGATCTAAAGCAACTTACTGAATCCATCAAGTGTTGCAAGAACCATTTCTCCAGGAAGAAGACCAAAGAGTTTCTGCCCAGCTTTGCTGTTTATCACTGAACTCGAGAAGAATCCAGAAACTTTAACAACACCAGAGAGCACACCATTAGCCACTTTCTCTGTCATTTTCGTCATCTTCTTCACTCTGTTACATATATAACTCAAAACCTCAATAAATAAATAAAAAACACAAATCTCAAAGATAAGCAAATAAAGATTGTACCTTTTGAGACGTTTCAAAGTTCCAGGACTAACTTGTCTCTCTTTCTCTGCTTTAGACAACTTCTTCTTCATGAAATCATTTCCCCACATGAGCCTATCCATTGTGAGATCACCACACCATAAGATCCCTTTTATCAATTGACCAGAACCCGCAGCGATCAGTTTCGCTGCAACTCCACTGTAATCCTCAACATTCGGAGCCAGAGTCGTCCAATAAGCCGTACATTGCTTCTCCACCATCTTTTTCCTCTTTCCCTTCAGCTCCTCCGGTGAAGTCTCCTTCGCCGCCGTCAAATCCAAAACGTTCTCTTCTTTCTGATTCTCCTCCGCCGTGAAACTGCTGTAGTCCGCTAAGATCTTGTCTAGCTTCTCCAGCAACGGTTCTTGACCTTTGGAAGCGATTGTTAATCCGTAGTTCAACATTTCGTTCTCTGCTTCGTTGATTGAATGATCCGACGACCCGGATTCTTTAACGGGTCGGAGCGAGAAGAAGTAATGAGACTCATCGACTTTAACGGCGGGTTCGTCTTTAGTCAACGGCCATTGGATCTCATCAGCGACGCGCGCGAAAACCGCCACGGTGATATCTCCTTGAACAAGACGGAGAATCTCGAGATCGCCGCAAGCGAGCTCCACGCTGTAGGATTTGTCGATCAGGTGGAGCATCGCACCGTGGATTGTCAGAATCACTTCCTCCGTCGCCATGGGAGGAGCTGAAGCTGAGTCAGAGGCGGTGGGATCCGGGAAGATATTGTTGACAAGATCATTCACATCGATGGACGGATAGAGATTATTATTAGTACAAGAGGAGGAAGAGGAATTAGGGAGAGGAGCAACGGTGGTTGAAGTGTCGACGGTTGGGTAAAGCTTGGGACGAGTTGCAGAGCATTCCATTATCGCCGGGATTTAGGAGGAGGAAGACGAAGGGGAATGGAAGAAGAAGTGTTGGTTATTTATATGAATTTGAAAAAGGTTTGGGGCAGAAATAGAAAAAGTGAAAAGATTAGTGATGGAAGAAAGCGAATCTGTTTTGATTAACTACTAAGTAACCTTGCTGTCGGAGATCAGAAGACGTGGGGGTTGCGTGTTTCAAGAGGAGCTTACTTTGTCTTAACCGGGCCGGTTTAAACTTAACTATTTTAAGGGATTTTCCCGCGTTTATCCTAATATTTAATTCGTTTATATCCAAATATTCTTTTTGGTGAGTGGATATTGTACATTTGTTTATTGTTTTTTGATTTTTTCCACCTTTTTAGTGTCATATTAAACAAGAATACTTCAAGTAATTAAGATGTGTAATTGACTATGATAATGACAATCTGTATTGACTTTTTTTTTGCCTAATGAAACTCTGTTTAATAGTAGAACTTTATCTAAACAATGATTGAAAATTTGTTTTGTTTTTACTATTAGAAAACATAAAAATGCCAAAAAGATTAAAAGGTATAATCAATTATGTTGATGAAAAAATGTTTTCTTAATGTGTAAACACTTGTATTTGTCTACTAGAAAACATAATACTATGTCACATGTTATTTTTCTATTTTGATAGATATATGTTTTAGTATAAATCCAATAGCATCATCTCATTTCACTCTATAAATTACATTTTTTTTTTTGAAAATTAAATCAATGGAGTTTAGAGTAATTTAAACTGTATAAATAATTAGGATTAAGAAAATCTATAGAGTGAATAAGATTTATTTCTCACATACCTCTTTATCCCTTGACAATTGTCTTTTGACTTTATCAGTTGTGTTGTCATATCTGTGTCACTTTTAACATTAAATTACAAAATAAGTCCTCAATTTTAAAATAATTAACATCATGAGAATCTAAAAGTCACTGTACTTCACAGTTGACAATTTATTTTCACTGTACTTTGTTTGACCCCTAAAAAGGCAAATTTTACTGTAAAAAAACAAACTAAAGTTCGCAGGAAAGCGAAATCGTCATCTTCCCTGTTTAGTCTTGTAAGAGAAATTCAGATTCCGGCGGAGAAAGCTATAACGAGATTTTTCAATGGATCCCACTTCTTCTTCTTCTTCTTCTTCTTCCTCTGCTCTTAGATGGAAAATTCTTCGTCAAGCGCTTCTCCGTAGATCTGGTTTAAACTCCCCTTCGCTTTCTTCTTCCCGCATCCATTTCTCGATTCACAGCTAATGCATCATCATCTCTCATGGATCATCTCTCAATTTTCCTCAGATTCTCAATCTCAAGCTGAGACCAATCGGATTTCAAGGAAAGCAACTCAAGGATTCAACTTGATTCCTTGTCATGTGGTGGATTCTTCTCCGCAATCGGATAAGTCTCGTGAAGCATGCCTTTGCTACACATTTCCCATCACTGGCTCTCCGAAACTCTATCTAACGTTAGGATTTGATCTGATATTTTCATCAAATGAAACAATGTTACGCCTTGTTCTTATCTCCTAAGAGCTTCTTTAAAATTTATGCAGACAAAGAGTGGATAATTGCAGTGATCTCAATGACTTTGAGATATCTAATCGATACAACATTGATAACACTGGACTTGTCTGTAAGTTCTCATTCTGATTGTATCTCTCTCTACTTGTCTCTTGTGTTATTGTCACTTAAATTAGTGTCTTTGTTGGTTTTGAAACTTATGGTATAATGTTGCTGCTCTGCTCTGTGTATTTGGCTTGTTTGCGGCTGATACAATCGCTAACCAAAGTACATATCTGCTTGAAATTTTAGTATGTCAATATACAATTTGGCACTAACAATGATTCAAACAATTTAAGAACAAAAAAACATTGAGTTGCTTGGGGAACTATAATGTTATTTAACTTTTGATTCTCTGAATTCATAACTTAGGCTACATTGTTCCAGGTCAATGGCCCTCAGAAGAAGTTCTAGCATACTTTTGCATGTCTCAGGCAGATCGATTCAGGTTTTTGTGTTCAGTTTTAAGACTGATTTGCATCTGTGTTCTTATAAGTACTTACATTTCACTTGGCTCATTGGGATGTTGCAGAGGTAAAAGAGTAATTGAGCTTGGATCGGGGTATGGATTAGCCGGTTTAGTTATTGCAGCTGTCACCGAGGCATCAGAAGTGGTAATCTCAGATGGAAATCCCCAAGTAGTCAATTGTATCCTTCATGTTTCTGTTGTTGTGCATACACTGTTTCATTAGAGTTTTCTTCTCTGGCTGAACCCTTGAGATATTGAAACTCAATTTGTTTTGGATTCATTGATGTACTTAACATCCAGATATTAAGCGTAACATAGAATCCAACTCCATGGCATTTGGTGGCACAAGCGTTAAAGCCATGGAGTTGCACTGGAATCAGCATGAACTTCCAGAGTTAACCAACACTTTCGACATCATAGTTGCAAGCGATTGGTACCTTGCTCTCGATTTCAGTCTTCCGCTTTATCGATATGGTTTTCTCATCCCTCATCATGACATATTTTTATGATTCAACAGTACATTTTTCAAGGAATTTCATAAGCATCTCGCAAGAACCATCAAGATGCTGCTTAAAGCCAAAGAACCCTCCGAAGCATTATTTTTCAGTCCTAAAAGAGGTGACTCCTTAGATAAGTTCTTGAAGGAGATTGAAGACATTGGTTTACACTACAACTTAACCGAAAACTACGATGCACAAATTTGGAAGCGCCATGAGACACTTGTGAAAGGAGACGACGCTTGGCCTAACTATGACAAGAATCATTGCTACCCTTTACTTATTCAAGTTACGAATCATATTTAGTCAAGACTGTCATATTTGCGGCGATGGATGGCGAATAAACGCAGGTACACCAAATCTCTCAAGCTTTGTTTTAACAAATTGTGTTTTATGGATATAATATCAAGTGGGTGGACTTGAAAGTTGAAACCTTTTGACTCTCTGTAAGATGCTCTTATCTTCCCTTTTTAGTATGGAGAGGTCCACACCACACATACACACTAGTTAGGCAAAGCCGTTCAATTAAAGGGAAGATATAGAACAATATAAATAAATAAAGCTATAAGATTCTTGATCAAGTGTACTGCCATTGATGAACTACACATCAAACTTTTCTTCACTCTAGATCCGGCTTTTTGAATCTAACTTCTAGTTGTCTTTTCTTGTTTTTCTAGTGCTGAAAATAAACTTTTGTGTACTATTAAGGGCATTAATAATTACCGTTTGGGAAATGATAGAGATGACTAAGGAATCATTTGAGATGGACCCAAATCATCTTTCTATATAGAAGAATCTTTGTTTTTGTGTGTGTGTGTATGTGTATGTGCCTAATTGTGATCCTCAATATGACTGGAGCCATTATGAAACCTTTTCTCAAAGTATATCTCTTTGTACATATTGATTTCAGAACTTAATTTATTGAATTATGCAGCTCATGGGAATGATAGAAGATGACGAATCTAATATTTAATTGAAAATTTCCCTCAAAGTGACAAGCTTTGCCTTCACTATTGAGGAAATTAACAGTTCCCTCTCAATTATTTTGACCCTTCTCTGTTTCTACTTCTCTCTCAGTTTTTTTGTCAGTAACCAAAGCTACAAGCTGATCCAACAGAAGATCAAAAGGAGAACAAAAGAAGCGGTATTTCTAGTCGATTCTCCGATAGCCATAACCGCGTAATAAGAATTCGCTAATGACGCTTCTTCTATCGGTTGTTGTATCTCTGTACTGGACGAAGTTTCAGAACCAGTTACATCTCCTGTATCATCAGGAGGTGGTTCTCTTGAAGACTTCAAACTGTTTCACACAATACATATACATAAATCAAAGCTTTGATCTTTATAAACCAAACTCTGTCTTTCTTTAACTGTTTTTTGACTAAGTTTGTTTCCTTACCTGGACAAGTTGGGACAGAAAGTGATGGTGTAATCAGCATCACTACAAGTGAAAGTACTTGTGGCATCATCGTACGCGTAACTGTACGATTTAGGACAAGCTGATTTAAAGACTTGAGAATATATCGACGGCTTGCAGGTACCAGGTGAACTGTATGCGCCACTGCAGCAATACTCTGGTGTTCCAAACGCCTCACACGCACTTCTACATGCCAAACCGCTCTTGGCTTTTAGCTTTGTTGGGCAATTCTGGTTTAAGTCCGTGACACACCCTGTGGTGGGGCACAAACCAGAACCCTCCACGATCATGGGGAGGTTATAGCCATCAACGAGGCTGACATCATAAAAGTCTAGAGATCCGGAAACGCCGAGAGTGAACTCGGCTAATGTGGCTGGCGGTCCATCTCGCCCGAGCCACAATCTCCGGTGGTGCAGCTCGTGGTGCTACTAGAACCATCAAAGTTGCAGCCGGTACGGCCCCAAAAGCGACCAGACCAACCTGCGGGTGCTCGAAAAGTGCGAGAGGTATCTTTGGAGAGCTCGAATCCGGTGGTATCAAGTTTGGGACTACCTGAACCGGATAAAATCCCTGGCCACTCCGGGAAATCGCATTTGTTAACGAGCTTGAACGTTGTACACTTGACACCTTTAGTAAAAACAAAAACAGAGAAAACAAAATCGGATTAAGCAGAATTTGAGTGAAAATGAGAGAACTTAGGTGAAGAAAACGTAGAAATCGCAGACCATCACGGAGCAACAAGAGGATAAATCCAAGAACAGAGGCGTAAGGTGGGAGATGGAGACGGGACAGAGCCATGAGAAGGAGACAAGCAGACTGAGAAATCACAGAATCTCGAAGGCAATTGGTGTGAGTGGGAGAGAATCTTTAATCATAAGGTCGAAATTTGTTTTTCCTCTGCAACTGATACTTGCTTTGTGCTATTTTTATATGTCAATGGGACTTCGATTGTGGAAGATTGATGAATAAACAAAACAAATATAGCAACTTTTTGAAGAAAAAATGTTCGCCGCCACACTATGAATATAGTAACTTTTTTTATGTGTTATATATTGTATACCTAAACATTGTGATTACCCGCCACTTTTAAAAGATTTTCAACGAACTTAACTTTAATTAAGATAAGTTGATTTCGATACCTAAAGATACGTCTCTTATCTCTTCACAAGCTTAGCTAGATGATTGATTATCTGGCTTTATAATCAGATTTCAAAATTGTAAAATTTATTTGAACATTTATTTATATTTTTATGTTATTTAATTAAAACCTTAAAACGCATTAACAATCAAATAATTCTGCAAGCAAAACTGTTATATATCTTACAGACAGGCCCGGCCCGCTACCAAAACCCAATAAACAAATGTGTTGGGCCTCCAAATTTTTAAAAACTTTTGGTACTAAAATTTTCAAGAATAATTTTGTATTGCAAAAAGAGACCTCATTTTTCCAAAATTTTAAAATTTAATCTCAAATTTTAAATTTTATCTATTTTTATTGCAAAAATATGCCTCATTTTCTAAAAATTTAAGATTTAGTCTCATTTTAAAAATTGTCTACAAAATCCATCTAAATTTTTTTTTGCCTTGTATTGGGCCTCTAATATAACAGGGCCGGACCTGCTTACAGACACCATAAAGACAGAACATTTGTCTAAAAAAATTACGTAGAAACTAGTACTATAACTAATCAAATCTAAAATAAGTTGTTCTTCTACAAATTATCACCTCGAAATAATTCACTCCTCGACTAAACTAATCAAATTATCATTGTTTTTCTTCAATGATCATTTCTTTCTCTTGGTGAAGAAAGTCTCGAATGATGGATGTTATTAAAAAAATCAAAACGTCGCCGTACAGGGATCACCAAACAAGTTGCATCGCCCAAGACGCGACGACAGCCAAAACGCCAATCGAAAACACGGCAGAGAGAGTTGGCGACGCGTTTGGAGATGCCGTAGAGTAGCTAACAGCTTCGGGTTGGAGTCCCTTCGTTGCACTCTTCACACTAAAAACCAAATTATACAAGAAAACAAATTTTATTAAATAACGTTTTCTACCAATATATTTGAATTATTTTGCAATGTGAACAATAGAGCCGTGTTGGACCACAATTTACCGACGTTTGAATGAAAAAAAATCTAAATGCACACAACAGAGAACATCATATATTTTCTATTTTGATTTATTAATGTTGATATAATTCTGCCAACGGGTGAAAATGTGAATGTCGTCTTGTCAATATGATTTCACAAATTGACAAAAGAACACGGACCATTATGAAAAAGTATGTGCCATGATTTTTATTCGGTGATTTGACCTCATTCAAAACGTTACACAAACAACACAAGGTGAATTATTCAACTCCAACATTATCAAACTTTTGAATGTGATATAAAAAAATCGAAACCGGACTTCTTCTAAAGGAATCAGAACCAAACTTTTTTCCCCTTTTTAATATGATTTGATCGGATCATCGGAACCAACCTTTTAATTAGCAAAAAATGTACCAATTTTTTTTAAAAAATATTCTAATTCGTGTTTCCACTTGAAGTTAGACAATCATATGCTTTTGTATTTTTTAGGTAAATAATGGCAATAGAAATATTTATTTACCTTGGGTTAGGAGAAGGACAGAAAGTGATGACGTAATCAGCTCCGCCACAAGTGAAGGTACTTGTTCCGTCGTCGTAAGCGTAACTATAAGCTCTCGGACACGCGTTTTTGAAGAACTGCGAGTACTCGCTCGGCTTACACGTGTCCGGCGTTCCAAACGCACCGCTACAGCAATACTCCGGCGTCCCAAACGCCTCACACGCGCTTTTGCAAGCTACTCCTTCAGTTCCCGTCGTCGCCACTTTCAGCTGAGCAGGACAAGGACCGTTGAGCTCCGCAACGCAGCCGGTGGTCGTGCAGTTCCCGGCCACGCCTCCAGCATCTCCTCCACCCTGAGGGACGATGGTCATCGGGATGTTGTAACCGTCGACGAGACTGACGTCATAGAAATCGAGGCCATTGGCTCCGTTCAGGGTGAATTCAGCGAGTGTCGCAGGAGGTGCAGCCCCGGATCCGGAGCATTCTACGGTGGAAGAACCACAGTCTCCGGTGATGCAAGTGAATTTTCCGGTGGTTGCGTCTTGTGTGCAGAGAGTACGACCCCATATACGGCCGGACCAAGCGGCGGGGATTGGGATAACGCGTGTCTCGGTCGGGTTTAAGGAGAATCCGGTTGTTGGTAAAGGAGAGGTTCCGGCGCCGGAGAGAAGTCCAGGCCAGACGGTGTAGCTGCACTGGTTAACGATGGTGAAAGTGGTGGAAGAAACTCCATAGATTAAAACAAGAATTAGAAGAAGAAAGAGAGAAACTTGAGATTGACCCATTAGAGCAGAGAGTCACCAGAATCTAAATATATAAACTTTTTGAGTTTTTCTTGTCGCCGGAGATGAGTTTTCCGGTGACTCTGTTTCTGCTCTCGAGAGAAAATGTATAAAGAGTGTAGTTGTGAAGGCTTTGTATTTATATGGTAAGAGAATTTAGAAATTAGAGTGAGAAAGAAATTGGAGAGATAGAGAGTCTTTTAAAGAGCTTGAGATTTTTAGAAAGGTCGGCTTCACGTGAGCCCATGCCGCCTTTGTCTATGTTAGTCGGCCAATGTGTCGTACATGTTCACGTTATTATTATTTTTTAATGGGGAATAAAAATAGGAATATGTAGAAACTATTGTTTTGAATCATAGAAATATTACTATATCATGTTCTTAATTGTTTTTCTGTATGATTCGTGCGATATTGGTTGCATATGGATATGATCAGTGTTGATGTCGGTGATCTAAATAGAACTTTGTCTCCTCCTTTGGCTTTAAATAATATATTAGACGATCCATTACTTCGTTTGTAATTTTTTTTCCATTTTTTATGTAAAAGAGCAGAGAGGGAAAAAATATTGTTTGGTGGGTTACCGATCACTAACGCAGACTAATCACCATAAAATGGGAATGTATCGAAGGAAAGAGGCGGAGAACAAAAAAAAAAAGCTGACAAGAGAAAACGTAGTGTGTGATGCCATCCTTAGATTCCGCCCTCTTCTCTCTTCCAAGGGACACGGTCTTACGAGTATCTCTAGCTACTATCCACCCAAGTTGTGTTGTGTCACTGTTAATTAATTATTGCAATTATTACAAGATGACAAAACTAAATATGATGATGTTTGATATTTCGTGAGCCTCTTAAAAACATCTATCAATATTCAAACAGGAACATACAATAAAAAAGGTTCAGGAGAGGAATACAATTTTTATTTCATTTTTGAGTTATTATGGGAAAGAGACAGAGTGGCTAACGTTGGATGGGAATTTCGTAAGATTGTTTTTATAAAGAAAGGGTGTTGGGTCAACGACATTCCAAGCTTTTATTTGTGTGATGTAGAGATATCAACTTGGTTGGTTCATGCTTCTTCCATTCTTACAAGTTATTTGTGTTTGACCATGACATGTAACTGATTCTTATGTTTAAAACTTTAAATAGGTTTAACAAATACCACAAGTTGGGTAGGTCTCGGGTGTGCTTTCTACTATGCAAATTTGTTGAATTCATAAGAATTTGATATTCTTTCCAAACGTCCAAGCAATTCGGTATGACTGATTAGAGATTTCGCTATTTCTTTGCGTTTATGTTTAGTAAGTAGTTCTATGAAATGAACTATAACCTTTAAATCCGCTTGTAGTGATATAAGGTGGTTGTGAAGATCTGTAATTTTGGATGTAAACTAGTAGAAGTTCCAAATTCGATTCCACTTTGAATAAAATTGATGCACATGTGACTACTTTGGCTCAGATTTGATGTTAATTGTATGGTTCTCAATTTCTCATTGTGTGAAAACTGACCAAATATCATAGGAAACGGATCCATAGCCTTAAATTGCTCATTAAGCTAATATTTCAAGAGACATCTAAAAAGGCAATGGAGCTAACTTTATACCGTGAAAAATATTAGTGACTAATGTGATGTGAGGTGATTAGTACGGGTTTCGGTGATTGGATCCAACGATATGAACACAAGGAGATGTGGATGATGTTTAACCTAATCAGGTTTTTATATGTGTTTTACATCTAGCCAATGATCATGTGAGTTTGTGGCTTTGTTTGGACAGGAAAAGGTGAACACCAAACTTGGGTTTCCAATTTCTTCTATTAGGAAGATTCGTCATCAGTCTTGGATTTTGTTGATACAAATTGTTAATGGTGTAATTAGGTTCAACTTTTTAACGCCAAAGGAGAACGACAGTGACATTCCCTAAATGACTGTACAAAGCAGGTAACGATTAACAAGATCAGAGTGAGGTCATTACCCACGAGATTGTATTTAGTCCTTTCTTGGTAAAAAACCGAGACATTGCATAATTATTCCACCAATTAACAGGTTACTTATGGAAGTCATAATTGATCATTCTGTGTCACTCATAAACAAGTCTAAGAATTGCAAAAGAACCAATAGATTGGCATGATCTCGTGTCGAAATTATAGCAATGAGTTAAAAAAGTTTCGAACTTGAGACGTCATGCCTGTGATGCTAATAGTCAAAACATCCAAGTACAAAAGCAATGAATTGAAACTAGCAACACTTTAATAAAAAGGACAAAACTCAAACTTTAGATGACATAAGCAATAAGAGGTCAAAATTTCCAGAAACAGATAGAAGAAAAAGAGAGCATCCATATCAGAGAAACAAATAAAGCTAAAAACTTGTAATAGTTATAACAAAAGGGGGATTCACTCTCTGTATAATAATAAAACCTCTAAAACACCAAAAGGACCAGGCAATATCATTCCCATCAACAAAAAAAAAGATAAATGAAAACGAAGAGAAATATATACCAAACTATATTACTCGATTCAATTTCATTCTCGTTTTTTGTTGATTAGGAAATCGTTTAAGCTACAGAGCATTCCCTTGCAAAGTGACCTTCCTTACCGCAACTGTAGCACTTATTACCACCACCGTTTCCACCGCTTGCTCTCTGGTCACAATCACGAGCCAAGTGACCAGAACCACCACACTGGTAACAACCACGAGAAGGCTGTCTCTTAGTCGCACACTCTCTTGCAATGTGACCAACTCCACCACATGTATAACAAGATCCACTACCACCACCGCTTCTGACGCTTCCAGCAGTCACTTTCTGATTACCACAATCCCTAGCGAAGTGACCAATGTCACCACAATTGTAACAACCATCTTTTCCAGCTCCGGCTGCTCCACGTTGGTCTCCGTTTCCAACTGATTTCTGAGTACAATCCCTAGCGAAGTGACCAGCATCACCACAATTGTAACAGCCTTCTCTTCTAGATCCACGTTCACCACCTCCGCTGCCGCCACCACATTCCTTTGCAATATGACCTAACTCACCGCAATTGTAGCAACCGCTTCCACCGCCGCGCCTAGCACCGTTACCGCGAGAGTTATTCTCCTTCTTAAGAGCACCACCACCGAGAGCAGTAACCTCGACGGCTTTAGTCTTACCGTCGCTTCCCTGAGTAATAGCGAACTCAACCGAATCGCCTTCAGCTAAACTCCGGTAACCTTCGGAGACAATTGAGGATTGATGAACGAAAAGCTCTTCGCTGCGGTCGTCAGGAGTAATGAAACCATAGCCTTTGGAATCGTTAAACCAGTTAACCTTCCCGGTAGATCTCACCGCCGATTGATCCTCTGAAGCCATCGTGGGGAAAAAAAAGTTGAAGAAGAGATTGAGAAATTAGGGTTTTTATTTTGTGAATCCGTAGGCGTGTGTGTGTATATATATATATAGAGGTAGAGTGGGATTAAATCTGTAATTAAAAGGAAATTAATGAGAAAACCCTAATTTGAGTGGAATGTAATTAAACCCTAATTTGACTCTGCCGCCCTAATTAAAATTTTTGGTGGAAGATTCTTCGGGACTGGGGAATTTTGGAAACTTGCCACTTCACTTTTTCCTCTATCCGCGTCGGTTTATCAGGTATGCACGCGTCCACAATAGAGGTTTTATCGTGGCCGTACGTTATGATTTAGTGAATCGCGATAAGATTTGGGACCTTAGTCGAGTTTTTTTTACATTGGGCCTATTGTTTGTGGACCAAAGATTTTTCTCTGATGGGCTTAGGCTGGATTCGGTATGGCTTTTTTCATTTATTTCCCTATTCGGCTGGTTATTATTAAACCAAGAGATTTTCAGTTTCCTTAAACAAAAGCTACAATACAAATCATATAGGTTTAGTCTAATTTCGGTAATCTTCCATCACATTAATCTGACAATAAATAGTAATTTTAGATTCAGGCATGGTTTTGCACTTTTGCTAATGCTTGTCACAACTACAAAATGGTGGTAATCACTCATAGCCATCATGCTATGCAAATACGCAATTTTAAAAAGAAAACTTTATACAACTTTTTGAATTTTGATAGTGGTGGAGGTTAAAAAACAGAGTCACCTACTACAATTTGGAATACATGGAAAAATCAAATCCTACTATTTTTCTAATGGGATCCAGAAGAAACAATAATTCATTTCATTCAATGGAAATTAGTAATTACAAGTGAAAGCCTCTAGATCCTCTGGATTGGTAAAGCTCGAGTCTGCTCTTAGCTTCATACAACAAAGCTTCCATATCTTCATCTTCAATTACATTAGCTTGCTTCGATGACCATTCCAATACCGTTAACACTTCGTCTTTCGCTAACTGTTCACTGTCTGGAACATTCATCGCCACGTAACTCAACAAAACCATCGCCGGAATCTGAGCTCCGTTCTCTCCGAAATACGCTAGTTGAACTAGAAGCTTTGATCCTCCAGCTTCGATGATCGTCCTCGAGTGTTCTTTTCCTAAAAAGTTATCCTCTGTCGCGAATTTCGCTAACGCGACCGCTACCTCCGCCGCTAAATCTGGTTCTCCGTCGTCGAGGAGTTTAACCAGAGGCACGATCATATGCGTTTCCGCCGATTTGAATGTTCTAGCTAGGTTTCCGATAGATCTGACACAGGGGATGAGTAAATCGGATCCGGCGTCGGCGTTTTCAACGATTCGGAATAATTGGTCAACCACCGCTTTGCACGCCGGTGAAGTGCGTCTGAACGCGGATCGTCTCAGATCTGCGTTTTCTTCAGCCACGGCGGTTATCTCCATTATAGCCATCGCTGTGTTATACTTGGTCTCATCGTCTCCTTTGTCTAGTAAAACCGCAAAACAGAGCAAAGCTCGTGACTCGGTGATGACTCGGCAGATCGATGAGTTTCCTACAGCGAGTTTCCACAACGCTCTCGCCGCCATCGCTTTCATGTAAGTCTTCGTCACCGGATCTTCAAGCTCTCTCCCTCTCGTCACCGACGCGTTTCGCGATTGATGTGCCGTACTACCGTAAGCCTTGAGCTGTGAACTCATACTATAACTCTTCTCCGGCATCTTTTCCGGCGGTTTCTCGTCGTCACCGGTAACAAATCGGCTAGACAGACTCGATTTCGAGCCGGATCCAACCGCTTTCATCGCCATTGTTGTTGCAACGATGCTATGCATCTGATTCGGCATCGGATTCGAGATTCCCATCTGATTATCGTCCTCCTCCTCGTTCAACGTCGGTAAATTCTCTTTACTAGTACTGATTTTGCTAGCCATCACGACGGCGTGGTGCATCGACGTGGCTCTACCCGCAACAACCGCGTATTTGCTATGTTCTTGAACCGTTTCAAACGCTAAATGACTCACAAGAAGCCTAATCACGTTGTTTTGCGCGAACAGTTCTTGACATTTGGCGTGATTACCAGAAACAAGCTCTGAAACAGCCCAAGCCACAACGGCTTGAACCTTCATCGAGCCTTCTTTAAGAATACTTGAAAGCACTGAACAAACACCAAGCTGAATCATATGTTCAACACTTTCCGGGTCACGACCCAATAACCCGATTGTTCTCGCCGCGTTTTCTTGACCGTCGATTTTACCTTCTTTTAGAAGTTTTAACAAAGGGTTGACTCCACCTTCTTCAACTATCAATTTCACGTATCTGTCGTTATCTCTTGCTAACGAAGCCAAGGACGCGGCGGCGTCGGATTTATCTTCCGGCGAACCGGTCATCAAAACCGCGATTTGTTCCCAAATTAAGCATAAGATTGGTTCGTTGGCTGCGATTGGAGGGAGACCTAAGTAACCAAAACCTTCGTCGTCGTCGTTACCGGCGGGAGTTGAGACACGGAGGAGCCAAGAGACATCGCCGACGGAGTTTTCTAGTTGAGAAATCATTTTACGGAATGCTGCGGCGGGGATTATGTTGAAAAGACGCATTATGTAGCCATCGTCACGGCATCTTTGGACCATCGTCAATGCTTTTTCAAGAACGTTTTCAGTGTCGTCGATGATACGGCGCGTGGGACGTTCGTAGAGGTCGGAGCTTGAGCGCGCCGCTTGACGGAGAAGAGCAGCGAGCTTTTCCGTCTTGGACTTGATATCGGCACATTCTTGTTTGTTGATTGTGGCTTCATCTCCGGCTTTCACAACTTGGTCTGCGAGTTGAATCGGTCGAGACAATATCTGCTTGGCTAGATCACCCATAGCCTAACAAAACTGGTTTAGATCAAGAAAATCAGAAACGGGTTGATCTTAATTTTAAAGAAAATGAAGAAACATTTTGTTGGGTTTGGTTTGGATTGGTCTTTGAAACACGGTTTCTTTCATTTCTAATGTATTTCTTACAGAACACGCCGGTCGTCGCCGGCTTTCGTTGTCGGAGTAAATTACTTATTAGTACATTTACCAAGTCGTCGTCTTAGCCCTTATCGTTCTTTTTTTTTTTTTTTTTAATAGTAAGCATATTCCATAATTTAAACTGTAAAGTATGCTAGCTAGGAAAATGGGATTTCAAAAGTTTATCAAGAAAATGCTCTTTCGGCATTATTTATCACGGTTTGTGAAATAAACGATCACAAAAACTGGTTCAAATCTTCAATATTACTTTGATTGATTCCCAAGGTTAGCACACCTGTTGGGATTCTCAGTTCATAGAATATTACTTAGTTTTTTTTTTCTCTTTTTTTTTTGCCATTTTTAGGGTTTACTTTTATGAGTTTATGATATAAATTGAGCCGTCGAAATAGAAAATTGTTGGAAATGTGATTGGATAACTATCTTGGGCCCCAAGAGTCATAACCCATTTATTGGCCAAGGCTAGTTGTTTTTTTTTTTTAAGCCGTGTTTGGCTACATCGAATGTTATATAACCAACCATATTTATTTCTGGGCCATGTTTCACATTTATATTTTGAGATTCTAAAAAAATAAGAAGATAACTACAGAATTATTCATACAATTCAATATGGGAAAAATGTCATTTAAATCATCAGTTTACTATTTTCGTTGATTTAAATTATGAATTCTAGATCTAGTGATTTAAATCCTTACTTTTACGTTGATTTTCATTTTAATCATAAATTCTCATTGACAAAGCCAATTGAGGCACATGCTAACTAGCTAAAGGGATCAATAAGAAGATGTCATCGCATAACTGGCACTTCGAATCCATCGCATAATTTTTCTTCTACACCAACATGGTTTTCATCTTCCTTTTCGTCTGTCTGATTGTTCCGTTTAGTCAGTTAACAATGTGTCTTAATTGGTTTAGTCAACGAGAATTCGTGATTAAATTAAAGTCAACATAAAATAGAGGATTTAAATCACCAAATCCACATAAAATTAAAGATTTAAATCAGCAGGTCCAGAGTTCATGCTTTAAACCAACAAAAATGGTAAACTGATGATTTAAATGACATTTTTCCCAATTCAATAAAACTATTTTTCCCAATTCAATAAAACTATGCGATATACTAATGCAAATAATCTCTTCCCTTTTTATTGCCTTTCAAGGCACATTCAGCAGCTCGCATGGACACAATCCAGAATTATTCATACGATTCAATAAAAAAAAGACTTAATCACTTCACCAGACTTCATTAATTCGATTGGATAAAAGTTCATGTCAATTCTTTCTCAACACTATTTTGAAGTAGTTTTACAAGATATTACAACACAAGTGGATCTAAATTATTTTCTTATTTAATTATTTATATACACACAGGCAAGCAAAATAATAGGACAAGATACTATGAAGATATTTGTCCCAAACAAGAAATAAAGTAATTACCTAACTAAATGATTAAAATCTTTTGTTTACGAATTGAGAGTGTTATGCGGCTTCTGCCTCGTTCGTTTTATGTTTACTGAACAAGCTACAATAAGTTTTTCATCAAAAGTGAATAAATGGGTTCCATAAAATACAACTCTTTTTTTTTGTTCTCCAAACGAAGACAACGTGGTTACAATGAATCTATCTATATATAGTCCACTCGAGCACGTCTTTCAGTTAAACGTTGAATCACATTCTATTTAGTAGCAACCAAGAAAATAAAATCTAATCACAGACAAACAATGAAACAACAACAACAACAAAAGAGGAAGAGGAGCTACGAGTTGCAGGGATATTTGTTGCCTTCTTTTTGCTATCTATTTGTCTTAGATAAAGAAAAAAAGGACACACTATCTATCTTTTAGCTTCTAGAAGGACATTACTGGTCGAAATTTAAATAAATAAAAGTATTTACGACAAATATAAATAAATAAAAGTATCTAATATAATAATAAGTCCCGACAAATTAAGATAAAATACAGCAAAAAAAATAAAGAGAAGAAGATCTAAACGGACCTCTTATCAGTTTACTTTCTAGTTTCCACAAACTCGCGGCGCGGGCCCGTACTTTTGTCGCCTCTAGGGTTCATTATTAAAACATGAGACCTAAAAGATGACGTGGTAGTTACTATGGTTATCATTTAACCAACAAAGTCGTGCAAAATTTTCAACTAAGAACAATATGAATAGTCGTGCTCATAGATAAAATCAGTTCAGGCCTCCAAATTTATAAATCAAAATCTATCAAATTGTTGATGGGTTTGTTTGGTTGATCACATGGAAAAAAACTTCTTTCATTGGCCGTGTTCACGTGTTCTAGTGGGCCAGAAGATCATAATCACTTATGGATGCATCCCTTTTATTGCGATTAGTATTTTTTTATTTGGTCAGTTGGATGCATAATATCACAATTGTAGAGATTCCTAAATTAGACGATATGTGTTAACTCTATCTGTATCATAATAATACAATTGTTTCAGAATTTCACTTTTGTTTCACAATTTTCACTTTTAAGTATAGTTTAACTTATTAATCACAGAGCTAATATCGTTCTCTTGCATGGAAAACAAAACTTTAAAGAAGAAGTGGTCAAATCACTAATCAGTGCTTAGTGAGCTTCCCTTTCCGAAGATGGAAAGAAACAAAAAAAATTTCATCATAATCAAAATCAAACAGCTCTAATCAAAGCAAATATATATTTCCTCATTAATAATTAATTAACAATAGGATTCACAAGGTAAAAAACGAGTAGATCCTACGTAAACACGAAACAAACGGCACCGATCGCTCGTGGGGAGTGAGGGCGTATGGTAAGAACATGGCGTATGTTAGCACACTAGTTTCCGTCCACGTTAGCTTACTATACTATTAATAATTACAACGTCAAGCCCAGCTTTTACGGCTTCGTATTTACACTAATTAACTCGGTCTAACTCGTTCACCGAGTCAACTCACTACCAGCACTGATCGGTTTCCCAGTTCCGTCCGACGTAACTGCCCAACCCGGAGGTACCGACGGTCAAAGGACGGCTCCGTCGCAACATCCTCCGATCATAAACAGAGCGTTTCTCAGGATCCGAAAGCGTACAGTAAGCGGCGTGGATCTTCATGAATTCATCCGCCGATGAAGAAGTCCGATCAGTTCCCGCCACGTCTGGATGGCAGATCCTGGCTAATCTCCGGTAAGCCGATTTGATATCTTGGCTCGTCGCTCCTAAAGGAACCTCAAGGATCTCGTAAAGCGAAGCTGGCGCCGTCGTCAACCGCCGCGGGATCTGATGCAATCTCGGCGAATCCTCCGCGCAAGTGTAAGAGCAAGAGGCGGAGACGAGAGGTGGCGGAATCCGAGCCATGCGAGACGGCGGAGATATCGGAGAGAGAGGCGGAGATGAAGAGAGAAATGGATGAGCAAAGGAAGTTGGAGATGAAGAAAGCATCGTTGCTATATGAAACGTTGTCGTTTTCGAGTTTTGAGTTTCTCTGAGTTTGTTTTTGTTCGAGGAGAGGGAATAATTGAAGAAGAAAGCTATGGAGGGATATAATTTATAGGCGAAGAGGCGATTAGTCATTAATTGGTTAATTAAGATTTTGATTAGTTTATTAATTACTAAAACGGATATAGTAGGGCAAGTAGGATTAAGAGTCGGGTCGGGTTAAGTAGGATAAAGTCGGGTCGGATCCTGTGATCTGAGTCAGAAGAAAAAGGCTTATCCAGTTGGGGAAATAATTGCACAAGAGATAAGAATGTAGTACGTAAGATTTTTATTCATTAGTGGCCAAATTGTTCTGTGGCTGTAAATGTCATTTTAACATATTACAAAATATAAATTAATGCCAAAAGGAACCAAAGAAATAATTGCACAGAAATATTAATCACGTTTTGTTTTTTTTGGTTATTTATTCGTTTTAATTAAATACTTTCATGCAAATTTTTTTTTGTTATTAGCAGAAAAGTATTTTATGGTGGAAATTCAAAAAAGAATCTTCTTACGAGTAGATTTTTTTTTTCTTTCTAATTGTTGTAAGGAGACGTAATATCGACCGTGTATTGTTTGTTGGATACTGAGAAGACAGAAATAGATTTTTAGAAGATGGAGAAAAGTCTCTACTATATTTAAAGATTGCCGCCTCCCACCATGCAAACATATTTAATATTTATGTGCTTTATTTTCATTACTATAGGAATGGAAATACAAGAGCCAAGAGGCCAATGGTAGTAATCTGCAAATTTGGTTCGTGAGAAATTGTTTTCTTAGCTCACAGAATTCAATGATACCAACAAACTGTGTTTTATAGTACTAGATTACGATACATAAAAATTATCAAATATTTTCAAACTGTATCTTTGGTTGTCAATGTCATAATCAAGGAAAGTCGGTTTATTTTTTCTTTAGCTAAACATTCAAATATTCAATGGAAGAAAAGTCGACTGAATTATTTTATTTTTTTTTTGTTTTTTTTTTGTATTCTTCTGCGAGAGGTAATTCAAAAGAACCGGAATCACGGATGGGGATTAAATTAAGTGTAAATTAAACTCATTTTTATAAGTATGGGTCATTAAATTTTTGACTAAACTAACCTTTTGAAATCGAAGTTTTATTGACAACCGATATGAGTAATTAATTTTTGAACGAGCAAAAGATAATCACAAGTTTTAAGTTGTTATCAAAAGCCATTACGTTGAAAAGTCTTAAACAGGACCAACTATGAAAATGAAAAGAGCTCGTGCCTATTACAATCAAATTCGACTCTCCTTAGTCCTTAAACAAGATGATCACGTAGAAACCAATAGACCATAATTCTTGTTCTAGAAGATTGTGATTGTTGTAAGCAAACTATTGTAATCGTATAATCTCTACTTCTTCTCCAACCACGTGTTTGGTCGACATCCCAAATTCCAATTGGTGTGGTAACTAGTGCCCATCGATTCACTTGTTTTTAGATAAACTTATCTTGATCAAACATCATACTAATATTTTTGTAAATCATTTTCATCTTCTTTTACCTTTTAATTTGTGAATGATGAGAAATATCTTTCTATAAAAAGACAGATTGTAGAAAATGTATGAATTTAACAAAGAGAGAACTTACTATCTCCAAGTCTTTTGACATCTTCAAAAGCCAAGTTTTTTATTTTTATTTTTAAATTTTTTTTTTGTTGTTAACCCTTCAAAAGCCAAGTACTGTAATATACAATTTTTACATGTATAAATCGAATAAAACAATCGCAAGTGACGTCGAAGATTGACACCACCAATTTCGTGGGTGACACATTCCCTTCCATCAGCATATTGTGCTTTCATGTCATCTTCCATATTAATATAAGGGAAATAAAATAATACATAATTCCATACACACACATACGTATACGTATACGTATCCATGTGAATCAACATAACCTTATATAATCAGATTCCTGCAACTTGTAAATTTAGTATATTAGCTGCTATAAAGCTAAAAGGTTAATCACATTAGAAGAAACAATACATTATACAACGAGGAGGACAAGAGGCAGAGACAGGAACGTGGAAAGAAGCTTCATCCAGCAACTTTACACATTGGTCAAGAGTCAAAACTCTTAGAGATTAAGATAACATTAACTATATACCGACATTGTCGAGTTTCTACGGTGTACCTGAGCTCACTAGATTAAAATCCTTGGTTCCTCAATACTCAATCATGGTTGATCTCAATCTCATCACTCTTTTACTTGTCTCTGAATTTTGATGAAGCCCATTTGAAATAACCACAGTTTGCTTCTGGATTAGAGGAAGGTCCCTGCAAGAGTTGTAGATATACTTAGCATGTAATTACCACGGTTAAAAAGACTTGGTTAAAGTCTCTTTTACCTCAGCTCGAGAGCAGACGTAGAATCTGCGCCCAAATGTGGGACCTGGTTTCTTGACAACCCTAGCAACACAAGCTTCTTTATGTCCTTTGCAGAGAGGTATGCTGTTTTGCATTAGGTTTTGTATTCTTTGCCACTCCATTAAAGCTGCATCGTTCTTTTGTTTAGCTGAAGAACTGCTTTGATCCTGTTCCTGTGTTGAAGTAGTCGGTTCGCCGTCTTCTTTGCTGGAAACATTCGGTTCTGTGATGCTTTCGGCTTGGGAGCTGGGACTGGAGGAAACATAGGAAGAAGAACTATCCCTGCCATTCTTAACCTTTGAGTTTGTAGTGAAAAAAGACTTGAGAGAAAGCTGAGATGATTGGATTTTCCTTGCTTTTTTCCTGTCTCCATCTCTAGAGATGTTCACAGCTCTACCTGATGATACACGAATTCCATCACAAGTGTTATCAATGGAACCTGTTGATGCCACCGTTTCTGCTTCTGTAAAGGCACAAGTGGATTCATTCTCAAAAGAACAAGATTTCTCAAGTGAAATTCCCATTGAAACACAGTTTCTCAGTGGTCCTGTAGAAATATCCCCACAACTTGACGAAGCATTACTTTGACTCGATGATGAACATGACACCTCAATGGCTTTGGCTTCTTCATTGGCCCGCTTCTTCATAAATACCGATACTGTTACAGTAAAAAAAACCAGCAAAGCAAATTATAAAAAAGATAGATACAGGAATAACTTGAGAATAAGAACCAATACATCACACTGGAAAATATATAGTTTATTGTACCAAGAGTTTGCTGGAAACCATAAATCATGGGAAGATATCTCGAAGCTAATGGCGGCGTGCTGTGTTCGGGGATGTCTGGTAAATCATCAAAACTAGTGAATACAGGTACGTGGTCTGATCCCTTTAATTTTGTACCCAATCCACCTTTCCACCTGAAGTGTGTTCAGAAGTTGATTCACTGTAAATTTAAGATCCAAGTAAAATGAAAAAGGAATTCTCAAGTACTTTAGTCTTTTAAGTTGAAACACACATGAGATCATTCTTGATCATCTAGACTTACCTTGTTGCCATATTTTCATTCTTAAACCGCTTATACTCTGTTAATATTTCACATTCGTTGATATGGCAAGCAAGAAAACTATGACCCTGCTTATCTTCGTCCTGATGCAAGCATGATCCAGCAACTAAGATATGATCAATCCTCGAACCGTAGTTAAATTGTTCTGCTCCAGTACTTGAGGACCAACATGTGAATGCATCTTTCCTGTGAGATATCCAGAAATAAGCAATCAATGGTAAAACAAACCGTTCAGAGAATGTTATAAAACAATGGAAAAGCTAAATATGGATGGCTCCCTCATAAACACAGAAGAGGTGATCACAAAATTTCACCTTTCAGGATGTTTTGATCTGAAGACATCAGAGAATGAGCCTCCACGTTCAACTAGGAGAGATCTAAACCACTTCCTGAACCTGCATTTTTTATTGGCATGAAATGAGAAATCTGATAGGAGAAAAAGTCTTGAGTAAAGCAAAACGATTTAAGCAGAACATGAATATTAGTATTTACATACTCGTTTTTCTCGAAATCAGGCCCAGCTTCACATCGATCCACAGCAAAAGGAGCAATGTTGAGATCCCCAACAACAAATACCTTCCTTCCTTGACGCAGAAGACACTCCCATCTTCTCTACAAGAAAACTAAGAAACAGTTAACCCAAATATCATTATAAGCCGAGGTATCTCATCGTAGTATATTCAGAAACCGATAAACTTACCTCTAGAATATCATAGAACCGATGCTTAAACTCGATCCTATCAGCATCATCAGCTACAGCTCGCGGCCCATAAACATTGAAAACAACTGCCGAAACACATAAATACATACAAACTGTAATGAAAATATACACAAAAGAAGTTACATCAAAAAAAGGATTTGAGTCATACCAAAGTGGCCGTGATCAGTTATAACACACCGTCCTTCTTGGTCAATCCTAAGAAGCTCTTCTTTTTCATATTCCTCAAGACCTTCACCTACTGCAGACATTTCATTCTTCCCACCTCGTGAATTACTGTTAACAAGACCAGTGATGCCTTCTTCTGCAGCAACAGGCAAAGCAATTTCACAGCTTGAAGATGCTGACTTTACCCTACAAAACGTTGCTACACCTGCAAATTTCAAGAACATTAAAATCTCCAACTTTTTACCATTTTCTCAAATTTTACTCTAAAGCCAATGAAGAAAAAGCTTGATGCTTACCCGAATAACCAGTACGACCTTTCTCACAAGTGCGAGTGCACGAGAAAAACGATTCATACCCATCAGCTATCGCCAAATCCGCTGTCAATTCCTGCCTTCTCAGTTTCGTCTCCTAGATTCAAACGCGAGTATAACTATTCTTATGGATTCATCGACGAAACCGAAAAAAGGATTGAAATTTCAAACAAAAATCGACTGGGGATTGAAGTAAACCTGAAAGCAGATAATATCAGCGTCGAACGAATCGAGAAGTTTGAGAAGAGATTCAAACTGCGAAACTCGTTGCCTAAGGCCATTAACGTTGTAAGTCACTATCTTCATCTTCTCCTTCTTCCTCTGCAGTTCACAAAGATCGTTCCTTTAGGTAAAATTTGGATATTTGTAACGTTGGACGGTTGAGATCTGAGAAGACTAAAGTCAGTAGAATCGACGGTCGATACGTGGAGAAGTAGTTTGTAACCAGCCGTGGCATATAAAAGTGGCGCGTGGGGAGCACAAGTTATTGATTTGCCTCGTCGGCGTCCACCACCACCATTATCGCCGGATTTTTATATACTCACGTAGAAGACGAAGAAGGAGAAGACGAAACCAACTTCTACTTCTTCTCTATGGCTCTCTCTTTATCTTTCTTGGAGTTTAGTTAGAGATTTTAACGTTGCAAATGGATCAAGCTAAAAATTTCTCTGAATCCGATTTTGCTGATGATTCCTCTGCTTCTTCTTCGGGACATAATCTCAGGTTTTAG